GATTGAAGTGTAAGGTTATGTGCAAAGGAAAAATAAATGAAACACAACATGTTAATTAGTGAGCTTTAGAGACGCCAGGCTAGCTGTCTCCCCATTTTCAGTCTTTTTTCTAAGCTAAGCTAACCATCTGCTGGCTGTAGCTTCATATTTAGCATACTGACATGAGTGGTATCAATCTTCTCATCTAGTGCAAGGCAAGAAAGCAAATAAGCACATTTATGTGAATGTTACACTATTCCTAACATGTTATTACTTTTTTTTTAACCTAAAATCCTATTTCTGTTGGAGTGTACTATGAGGTTTCTTATGCGGGCAGTGCTGTTGAACTGTTTGTGCAGACGTTTAATGTATCCCTGCTGGTCATATTAAGGGTGTTTGCAACCCAGTACAGCTCCTCTGTGGAGGTGAAGTGGAAAGTCAAGCTGCCAGATTCATGACAGGCACTAACACCATTAACACGTTTATACTCTGCCCGGGAGACGGCTAAAGCAGTCACTAAACCTCAAGTGATGGACTAATAAGTGATGCCACTACACAGTGTCTTACAAGGACACTTCAAACGTATCAGTCTGGAACCCACAGGCAGTAAAAGTCTAATGGAATAGTATATGTTAATGATGTTACTATTTACTGTACAGAAACGTGATGCTGGTTAGGCCATATAATATGGTACTTGCATCAACTTCAGTGTTTCCCTTTAAAAGGCTGGAGAGCCATAAATGTGACCAGAATCATGTTTTATTGGACGCAGAGCAGCGAAAAACATATCTGGACAAACGCCTTGCTGCGTTTTCCACCCATTTTGTTTCAAATAAAAACAGGCATGCTGAGAGGGGAGTCTCTTGTTCGCAAATACATATCCCCATTGATGAAATATGGTGTTATAATATTTTCTCAGTACTTAGTTGTTTTCCAGCGTGGATCCCAAGGACACACCTGACTTTGGGTCATGAGGGAATTTGAAGAGATATTGTGGGCGGACATCCAAGATTTAAATCAGCTCATGTAGACAATATTTCATTGTGAATGGGTTACATGAGACAAGATTTATGATAATAGTAAAAAGCTAAATACCATAATATATGCGTGTAATATATGTTTCATACAAATTCAAATACACTTATTCACCTTCTTGCCAAGAGTTAGACGAGAAGATTGACACCTCTCTTGTAGGAGTCAATAAAATATGAAGCTGTTTTCTGTGTTTATGCTAAGCTAAGCTAAGCTAACTGGCTAATTGCTGTAGCTTCACATAAAATTAGTACTTACCATCTAACTCTCAGCAACAAAGTTAATATGCATATTTCCCAAAATATCAAGCTATTTCTTATTTCTAAACAAATAAGGTTAAATATGAGCTCTAACATGAAATTATACTGCACCACTGCAGTGCAACATAATATCAAAAAAGCAGTCAGCAACTTCATTACTGCTGTAAAATGTTGTTGTAACTGATCCCTGTTGTAAATTTGAGACTCACCAGAGGTAAAACAATGTTTTTACTTGGTAATAAATACAACAGAGGTATTGAAGTACTTTCTTGGCAAAGCATGTTATGGCTAAAGAGAGAAATGCTCAGGGACGTTCAGTAGCAAGAAAGCATAAAACATCAAAATGATTTACTATCAGTAAGTAGTTGCTCTTGGCTCCAGCCTGGCTTAAAAAATCAGAGACAGGGATGTTTCGGGCTGTTAGCATTGAAAGACTGTGTTTCACAGTGGGCCTCTAATTTCCCTGTCTATTGCTCTCTGAAGAAAAATCTTGACCAGCTTGTATCTGCTCCAATGAAAAAAGGCAATATTCCAATACTGAAATGGAAAATATGTTCTACATATAATGCACGCTTATGCAGACCACAAACAGAAATTGCACAGGCAACATAATATTTCTCCTGCTCCTGCTTCTGAAATAGCCAGAGATACTGTAGTTTCATTTCAGAGCATTGTGAGATAAAGACTGACCCTTCTTCCACAGATGTAGAGAGGTTCTCTGGTATTTATTCATTAGAACCCAACCCCCCCCCAAATCCCCATGGTTGGCAAAATTGAACCAAGTGCTGAGGCCTTGGTCAAAAAAGATGGAGATGTGCAGGGACAGCTTTTGGAAAAGAAATGGCACACAGTTGACTAACTTTACAGGTGCTAGCAGAGCTGCCAACTTAAAAACGCAGTATCAGTCCTCATGACACGATCAGATTCTCTGCACTGCATTTGTTTTGGCCAGAGTAGCCGAGCACAGTCAGACTGGTGCACTTCACTGGAGTCAAACCTTTCTGGCACTGTAAAACACATAATAACTGTACACACAAAGGTATTAATATTTAGACACACACATACAAAACCCTTGCATATGCACACATAAATACTCACACACATGCAGCAAATTAAAAACTCCCATACAATCCTAGGTATCACTAACATACAGCCATAAAGTATAACCCAACACTGATTGTCCTGTGAGTATTCCCTGTTTGCAATTTCACTGCTATCAAGTAAACTGATTCATGGATTTAGGTGAGTCTTTTTCTTCTGTTTTGCAGATACAATGGACTATCCTTCAACTAAATGTGACAGGTAAGTGTAATTATGCATTGATCAATCTGCAATCAAATCAGCTGTTTGCACTTTTAAACTTTAATGATCTTGAAAATTAATACTATTTATAATCACCTCTTGGAATTTGTTCTTGAAATTGGACCACCACCTCTAATTCATCCATATTATTCTGGCTTTAGATCAAGAAAGGATATCCAAGAAAATGCACAATTTCTGCTTTAGATTTCTCGAATTGCTTCATCTGATTTTTTCCCAGGTTCATTTAGGAAAGAGTTGAGGTGATATTCAATAATCCACTTCATCTACAGCTGTTTCTTTTTAATACATTCACAGGGACCAGCAGCAGGACCGAGGCCAGCAGAGACGAGCCGATCAGAGCTGGAGGGAGATCCACGCCGCCGTGGCTCTGACCAACTTGGCGCAGGGGCAGAGCTGCACAGCCGACCAGAGAGGTGTGACCGTGCCCAGCGCTGGCACAGGGCAGAGCTGCACCATAGAGCCCTTCTCAGTTACGAGGACCACTATCAGGGACAGGATGTGTGTCACAGGACCCACCTCTGCTCTTAGGCAGAGCTGCACCGCGGGGCCCACTCTCACCAGCCGCATCATCCAGAAGTCCTCTCATATCTCTGAGGTCCAGACTGTTAACGTGGCCCTGGCAAACAGTGTGTAGGCATTTGATTTAAGCATCTGGTCCTAGCACATCATTCCCTATAGGAATACCAGATGCTTAAGTGCCTTGCAATATATGTACAGCCTCTGTTATTTTGTAATGCTGATAAACTTTGTCATTCTTTTCATTTTAAAATGGAAGAAATGACCTTACACAGTTGAATATTTTCTACTGTTTTTGCCATGTTTCCAATGTCTTCCTATTGCCGTCTGTTGCAGTAAGTTATATTAACTTCCATGAGACTGGATTATCATCCAATGCTTTAGTTTGACAGCAGCTATTTGAATAAACCCAATGTGAAATCTTTTGACCAGTCGTTTGCTTTGAATCACTCTTTGCAGTGGCTGATGCTGCATAGTTAGGTTTCACTGAACTGTATTTAGTGGTAGTTTTCATGTGTGCAATTGTGGGTCTCGCAGTTTCATTATGTGCTTTCAAATTGCTTTTTAAAAGGTTGTATTATGGGCAGAAGGGTGGCATCCTGAACTGAGCAGGGAGGCTGTTCTTCAACCAGAGTACTGTGGTTAAAGTTCTTCTGATGAGCCTCGATGAAGCTAAAGAAGGATTCACAGTGACACGAGCAATGTTTTACATTTGTTGAAATAAATCAGCACCATGTCCACGAAATATGAAGGTAAAACGGCAATAATCAATATTTTTATGTTTAATCAAATGTGCATGTGAAAGGGGTCACTTGTTGTGATGACCTTACAGAGAATTATCAACCCATTATGCTTATTCCCTCAAGCTTTTTAGCGTTAATGTTAATTGCGTTAATTGCTTTGGTTGTCCGGCAAACAACTTTAATGTTTTGGTTCACTCTCACCGCTCTCATAGAGTGAATATCAGCCACAAGAGGCAGCTTTAACTGTTTTCACAAAAAAAAGATAAGTTAACTAGTTAACTAGTGAACGTAGCATTTGGAAGCAGGCTGAAGATAGTGTCCCTTCAGGAGTTAGATTGGTGGAGACCAAAAATGAAGCTAAAAGGAGAGTAAATCTTGCACTTTCATTCGTCAGACCACAAATGAACGCTAGTGTTGCTCCATGTGGGCTGTATTTCTAAATAGGCTACTGCTAGTGAACACGTTCACAAGTCAAAAAGTCTGTGACATCTTTTTCAGCTCGTTTCGCTGATAAGTGGGCCAAAAGTCAGAATTCTATGAAATTGTGAATGCACTGTAACGAAATAAGTTGTGATGTCTGAAGAACAAAATTCAATATGTTTTCTGGTACTTTCTTGAACAGAAAACATCTCTATAATTTGTGAGACACACAACATGTCATCTGTTTTTGATGTTAAATGACATAAATGCCAAATGAGATCTTAGGAATTTTCTGACCTCAATATGAAGTCAACAAAAATGAATATTATTGGAAATATAGAGAGCACGATAAGCCTCCAGGGAATGTCTACTCTGCCTCTATAGGGAGCCCAGTCTAGGGGAGAGACTTGTGGGGACGTCTTGTTCCATCTGAGGACATCCTGACACCAAACATAAGCTTGTAATCACATTCGGTCCTCTGGGGCTATTTTATAAAACATGATTACCAGGACTTTTCCACTCGTGTCCCGGTTTTGGTCTGTTTTTTGACATTTTGTGCAAAGAATGTTTTCACTCTTGCATGTACGACAGGCTAGTCATCAACAAAGTATTATGGAAAGAGCACCTCACTCCTGTTTCCACTGTAAACCTGCTTTTGATTAGGTGGGCTTCTTCACAACATGGAAACTAAAAGGCAAATGGCAATTAAACAATAATTAGTCTGGAGTGACGGCATCTTGAGGTTGTCATTTATTTCAGTTTGAAACAATACAAACATTACTGGACCATAACCCAAGCAAATGCCATTCAATGTTAAGGCAGATATCAATTTAACATAGTGCTGAATATGATTTAGGTAGGCGCACAGCAAAAGCAACAGGAAAAGGGTACAGGGATAGAAGAGGGGAAAGGTCCACATGATTCTAAACAAGAAAAAAAGAATTCAAACAAATAGCAATGATACATCAAACAAATGTCTTAGGAATGCTCTCATATTATAATTTGTGAGAAATGCCTTCAGTAAGTCAGTGGGACTTTAGAGAAACTACAACACCACACAGAAACTGCAAAATAAACAAACTTACAGGTCAGGCTAAGACTAAATGGCAAAACTGAGCTAAAAGTGAGTAGAAGAGCATATTTTATTGCAAGAACTCTCAATACTGTAAACCTTAGACTTGCAGCTGTGGACGTTATGGTCCAGATCAAACATGCAAAGAAAAAGACAGGTTTGGTTACAAAAAAATCCTACAAGACAAAGATGATTACTTGTCTTGGATTTTTCCATGAAGACAGGAAAAAAAAAAACAGGAATCTGTTCATTTGAACGCCTCTATACGTACATAGAATTTGATGGAAATCACCATAAATGAATAATAATTAAGAAAATAATTCAATTAACAGAAAAAAATGAACTGGTGTCAGTAACTGGGGTCCATACTGAAATGTCTTATTCGGCATTCACAGTGTTCTGGTGCATAATGACGGATGTTAGATGGAGGCCAACACGCGCTCCACATAACAAGTCTAGTCCACCACTACCCTCAATCCAAGTGATGTGTTTCATATGAAATAAAGCTCGTCATGTGGAACATTTTGTACTTTAACTTTGCAGCTACATAGAAGTCGACATTTACAGCTCACAAATCATAAGCAGGGAACTAGTTTTTTCCTGGAAGTGAGAGATTGAGGATACTTCTTTACTGATTATTATGAATCCTTTGGAGTGAAATTTGACTGTATTGTAACCTACAAAATTAGTTCATGTTATAGGCACTATGCTACTAACCTGATCGCTTAATGTACAACAGAAACACTGTTGCCAATAAGAAAAATTCAAACCAGACATGTACTCCTATGACATACACTTGGCATGGTTATGATAATTTAAAAACACTATACTTCCTTAGACAAGAGGCTATTTTTGCACGATCCTTTCATTTATGTTTTAAACAGAAAGTAGTGACATGTGACAGATGATGGTTGAAAAGGAAGTGTGCAAACAGCAAAGTCCTTTTGACTGACAGAACTACTTCAACAATTAACTTTTTGTTAAAAGGACTCATCCAGTTCCACCTCTATTTCACCCCCCTCTGTTTCTGGTCCGTAGTCATTCCGATCAGCTTGGTGCTTTTTTTTGGTTCTGTCCGGTTTCAGGGTATGGAACAGTATCCTCCACATGCCCTGCCCCCGCCCTGCTCCTGATCCCCCAGACGGAGCTTCTGACCCTGGTTTTCACTCTCCCAAAGCCCCGGAGTCTGGAGGATCTTCTCCACAAGCTCCTCAAAGGCACACTGGACACCATCTTTGGTCTTTGCACTGGCCTCTGTACAAAGGAAAGAGGGTTACCAAGATTTATGAGATCAGTAAAAAAAAAACTGGTAGAGCACTTTCCAAAATGTTACAAAGAAAAAAAACCTTACACGTCAGCTTTTAAATCTAAAACAGAGCAAAACATCTTTCCTTTTACAACACAGTAAAACTAACGAATAGAGATTTCAAAATATCCACGTGTTGACAAACATGACATATAAAGGATGAAATGACTTCATTTAAGAAGCAGCAGACATCCAGTGGGATGAAGACATCCTCACAGGGGATTAAATCCACGACATCTTCTTGCCCAACCCTTTTCAAAACCCCTTAATTTAGCCGTTCTAAAATGGAAACTCCACAGAAATGTTAACCTAATTTCCCAGAGAGGGGCAGATTGGAGATGAGAATCAGGAACACGTGTAGACATGGATCTGATAAATGAAAGCCCACTAGATTTTAATCATAATGCAGTTCTTCTGGAGTGGCCGCATCTTTCAGCGCAGCTATGACAGTAGAGACTCAAAAATGCCAAAGCAGTATAAACAGCGCTACAAACCCAAACTAAATGCATGACTTACTAAGTGATGTCCCAACTTGTTCCAACTGCGCAATTACAGTTCTGACTTTTAAGTACAGTACGGTACATTTTAATGGTGCTAAGTTACATTTTATGGCTCTATTAGTTTAAATGACTGTGTCTTACCGTGTCTGATTTTACTCTATCACGGATACTTACCAATAAAAAGCATGGAGTGTTTCCTAGCAAATTTCAGTCCCTCATTTCGATCCACTTCATGGTCGTCCTGAAAACCAAAAAGACATCCTATGTAGTTTTCTCTCTATGAAATACATATGGTAAAAGATTACACTTTGAATATTTCTGGTGTTTTTTGATTGTCATTTTTTAATAATAATAATCTGAGAGGTGTGTATTAAGCCAAGGTTCACATTAAAGCCATCTGTGAGCCTTTATACTCCATATCCTGCACATAAATTACTAGAAATCCAACATCTGTCTACGATGGGCTGGTGGGACAGTGACATCTGTAACTGTTTAAACTTTACGTGTCAAACTGACACCAGCTACTGACTCACCTTATCAATTTTGTTCCCAACAAGCATTTTTACAATGTCATTGCGTGTTGTGTAGGTTTCCAGTTCATTCAGCCAGTTCTCCAGCTTCATAAAAGTGTCGCGCTTTGTGACGTCATACACTGCAAAAAACCATGCAAACAGAGACAAAGAGTCAGAGGGGATGTATTTTCTTCATTTTGAGAGGACACTACATACATCTGATGGCTGTTGATTGACAGTATGAGCACTTCGCTGATGCCTTTAACCAAGGTGACTTCAATTAGCTTGCACAGTATAATTGATTTCAATGTTTTGTTTGTAAAATGACAAGAAAACATAGGCAAGAAGTGACAAACAGTATGTCTGTGACCCTGGACGGATCATGTGTAAATAAGGTGCTAAAAAAGCAGAGTAGATATGATTTTTTTTTTGGAAAGAGTAAAGTGTCCCTAGTTCTCATACTGAGCGTGTTACTTGGCTATGGCTGTTTACCAAGTATGACTCCCTGTGCACCGCGGTAGTAGCTGGGTGTCAGGGTGCGAAACCTTTCCTGTCCAGCCGTGTCCTGCAAAAGTAAAGACACTTAAGATCAATGGCAGAAATCAAAAAGACTCCATGATACCACATATTTAAGACAAACAGGAACACTAGCCAAGTCTGCAAGGTCTCAGTCCTGTCCTACTGTAAAACCAGCCATTGCCTGAGGAGTGTTTGCAGACCTTTTGCAATCCTTTGCATCCTTTATATTGCTCAAATGTTAAAAAACAGGAATGCCCAGGGGAAAAACAAACACAGAAACACTGAAAGAGCTGGATAAATCATCATATATGTAGTTGTGTACTTCTATAATCTTATAGAATCATCCAGTCTAGACAGAACATTAAAATATCTATGCAATGATTTTAATTAAAAATAAAGACACTAAACTGTGAACATGTAATATGAGCCTTGCACCTGCCTCAGCCCATGTTGAATGTGACTTTACAAAGTGCTGTACTCTTCTTCATTAAGTGTTTTCAGCCCTTACATCCTCCTACACGAACACTATTTTTAGACAAATGATATGGGACTTCAGTGTTAGGGCTTAGGCTTTGGCCTCACTGTGTATGCTGTGTTTTCATTGGACATTGGGATTGGGCCACTTTAGGCCTCATGAAAGGAAGTTTACTTTGTTTTTCAGTTTGTCTCTGAGATTCTGGCTGTGCAATGTCACCATCTTGTGGATAAACCCTGTAGTTCACCATGTTTTTCCTGACAACACAAACAAACTGTAGACAATGGTAACTTGAGTCTTACCCATATGGCGAGTTTTGCTCTGTTCCCATCTATTGCCAGTGTCTTTACTTTGAAATCCACACCTGGTCAGAGAGAGAGAGGAAAATATAAGTACTTTAAATGGTCAATTTTAAATGATCAGTAGTTTTCACAGGTCTGTGAATATGTGTGTATGTACATCTGTGTGGGTGTGTGTGTAAAACCTATTGTCGCTGACTGTTCTGGATCAAAAGTGTCTTCTGTGAACCTCAGCAGGAGACTGTTAAATAAATAAAGGGAAATAAAGATCATATGGAAATAAGCAGGGCATACAGTACAATAGGCCTTTGTGAGTTGACTATAAGCTCCATCAGCATCTCCCTCTGTCAGCTACAGGAAGATCACCACAACTACACAGTTTTAATGTTGACGACTGACTGAGGAGCATCATCATCATCATCATCATCATCTCTCATCAGCAAACAGAATACCTGTTCAAAGTTTTACAGCTGCCTCTGTGACGTCGAGCTCCTTTGTTAACTATTACTCAACGTGTTAGCAGTTTGAGTATTTGGCCTACATAGGGAGAAAACAAACGACAACACTAGCAGCTAGCTGTAGCAACAGCTGCTGGGCAGCGGGGAATAAACTTAACGTTACATAACAAGAAGAATATCAACATTAACAACAGGCTAGCTAGAAAACTCGCTACAAACAGAGACACACCTGGACTTCCCGACTCCACTTTCGCCAATTATCAACAGCTTCAGAGTCGTTAGCACGTCGTCATCCATATTCCTGTGGGAGCTGGTTTGACTTGCACTTGGCGATGTGTTTATCGATATATTTCACTTGTTTTTAGGGCAGCAGGCGGCTAGCAGGCAGCTCCGATGACAGCCTGCTGTTCACGTAACTTCCGCCCAACCTGCGACGCGTGACGTCACGGAAGATCACGCGGTTTCGAATACAAAAAAATAAATAAAATACATAAATAAAAGATAAAAAAGGTTAAAAATAATTAAATTAAATTAAATTAAATAAAGGAATTCGTAATCACTATAGTATTATTGTGTTCTTGTAGTACATTAATACTGAATGAAATAAAATTAAATGTAAAATGTCTAAATAAATGACAAAAATGATACAACCATTGTGCAGGACTAAAAAATGTTTTTTTGTTTGTTAGGTGGTTACATTGTGAATGTGTTAAGTTCTGTGATATATTGCTAGAAAATGTAGATTTATCTTTTGATGGTTTGTATAGGCCTATATATTTTAAATGTAGCTACATAATGTGCAATATTTGCATGTTGTTTGTTCTTTCCATCCTCTTTGTTTGAAGCACTGTACAACTCTTCGTGTTGTTTCTAGACTTTTGCCATACTTCTTTTTCTTTTCTCTTGTATATTGTGACCTTTATCTACCAAGACACCAAGGCAAATTCTTTGTATGTGAAAACCTACACTGTAAACTTATTTCTGAATCTTTTGCTAATGTTGGCCAGTTCACTCTGAAGCAGAAGTGGAGGGATCCGAGGTAAGTCTACCATAGAGAATTATTGTCAATTGACAGGTAGAAAACCTTTGATTGGTCTAAATAAGGATCCACATCATAGTATGTCTTTGTTCTGGGCCATTGCTACTCTCATCAATCTTCAAAGACTCAAACTTTTAGGCTTATGTTACCTCAACCATGAGAAGGAACCACCTGGGGGTTTAACAATTGGAAACCAGTGACAGTAAGTATTGAAATGGAACCAGTGAACCATACTACACCTACTGTTCTTCAATAGGCTCTTTGACTGAGTCTTTCCTCAAACCTCATCTGCTTCTGTTCATTACAGAGAGGGCCAACCCTGTTATTATGCAAATCTCATCTCATGGAGAAGCTGAAAAGAGTCTGCAGCACAATAAATACAGCTGGTTGTGAATACTCACAGCTCACTGCAATGTTAGTGTGACATTTCTGAAAAGAAGAGCAGCTCTTTTATATTCCCCAAATTTGTTTTTTGTACTAAATGTCAGCCAGAATGGCCAGATTCCGCACAGATTGCATAGAGAGACCCATACGCATCTGTTTTGAGAGGATGGGTCATTTTATTGGATCTCATCCCTGGTGGTTCTTGATTGCTCCCCTTATTCTCTCGACAGGTCTGGGGAGCGGATTTTTATTTCTCAATGACAGAATGTCAAACAATATCGAAGAGCAATTTACACCTGTCGATGGACAAGCCAAGATGGAAAGGAAATACATCCAAGAAACCTTTCCAGGAAATGATTCCATGTTTTCCCGTTTAAGACTGAGCACAGATGGAAGTTTTGCTACTCTCATAGCTACAAGTGACAGCAATATTCTGACTGTGGAGTCACTTCAGGACATCCTAGGCTTGGACTTTAAAGTCAGAAGTATGGTAGTGCAGTTTGACAACCACTCATTTGAATATATGGATGTTTGTGCTGAGGTGTTGGGATCTTGCAATTCTAATGAGATTTTAGATATCATTGAATACAAAGCCAACAATATAGACACAGTCAATCTGACATTTCCGTGGTATGACTCTGATTTTCGGAGCTTTACTTTATATTTAAGTCTGGGGAGTGTGAATTTGCACAAGGAGAGCTCAGTTGTTGAAAGTGCTAAAGCCATACAGCTCCATTACTATTTACGTGAGGACAACAAGACAAAAACTGACCTTTGGCTGGAAAGCTTCATTCATTTGGTCTCAAATGTATCATCAACTTCCACTCAGGTAAGCAGAACTTCCATCACATCCCAGTGTTTTAAATGATCAGTTTTTTGTGTCATCAAGTGGCTTCTGCTAAACGTATCAATAATGTCTCTAGGTGTCTTACTCAACCTCCATGTCAATGCAGTGGGAATTTCAAAAATCCACAGCTTCCATCATCTATTTATTCTCCATCACCTACGCCATTGCCATCACATTTTCAATCATATCCTGTTGGAGGTCAGTAAAACATGCTGCTGAACATGTGCAATGTATTTTGGATGCATGGCTCTTTTTGAAGTCTGCTTTTCTTTCAGGTTGGATAATGTGAGGACAAAGGTGTGGGTGGCATCCTGTGGGGTGCTCTCCACAGGTCTAGCAGTCCTAAGCGGTTTTGGTGCGCTGTTGTTGCTGGATCAACCTTTTGTCATGACAGTTGCCTCCTGCCCTTTCATGATATTAGGTAGGTTGAGCTGAACATCCAGGTCCATGAGGTTCAGTCAAAGTTAGAAAGTACTTTACTTCCTACATTACTATATACTGGAACTCATTTCACAATTTTGATAGAAATCTAGTATAATTAAATTTTAATATGCATATTATTTAGTTGTAATTGTTGTAAGATATATCCATGTCTAAAGATCATGTTACACAATGCTGATGTTGTGATCTCATAATGTACATTATATTTTTCTTGTTATGTCACATGCACATTGAGGGATCTACTAGTTAGGGGGTTCTTGGGCTCTGGCAGCTCACCTTGGTGTACCAAGGTGGAGTCCTTGCTGCAGTGGCCATGGGTTTGACTCCAACCTTTGCTGTGTTTCATCCCTCCAAATTCCATATTCAATTTGCAATTAATCAGATTACCAAAGAACAACTGACAATTGCCAACCTGCACACAAAACAGGAAAGAGTCACATTTGCCATTTTTAAAATCTCTTTCTCCTCTGACTTTTGATCTGAAGGTATTGGATTGGATGATATGTTCATCATGATTTCTTGCTGGCAGAGGACCCGTGTTCTGGACAGCGTCCCCGACCGGCTGGCTGACACCTACAAGGATGCTGCCGTCTCCATCTCCATCACCACGCTGACCGATGCTCTGGCTCTCTTCCTGGGCTACAGCTCGCCCTTTGGTTCAGTCCAGTCCTTCTGCCTGTACGCTGGGATTTCTATTTGCTTCTGCTATTTGTACAGCATCACTTTCCTGGGGGCGTGCATGGCTTTGAATGGACAGAGGGAAGCAGAGAACAAGCATTGGTTCACCTGTGCCAAAATCCCAGAAGACTTACCAACCAGGAACTCCAAAGCCTTCAGTATCTGCTGCGTTGGGGGGAGCTACGATCGAATAACTGAAAAGGAGGAAACTGAGCCCATGACTCACATTTTTGAGCGGTTCTATGGCCCATTTCTGACCCACAAATGGATGAAGTCATGTGTATTTGTCATTTACGCAGGCTATCTGGCTGTTAGTATCTATGGTTGTTTTATCTTGAAGGAGGGACTCGATATCAAGAATCTGGCTTTAGATGATTCCTACATCATTAATTACTACAACAATCAAAGGCAGCACTTCTCTGAGTATAGCTGTATCGTGATGGTAACAGTAAAGCAGCCCTTGCCTTACTGGGATCACGATGAACAGAAGCGTCTGCACTCATGCATTTCAAATTTTGAAAGTCTGAACTTTGTCAATGGCACGTTTGCTTGGTTTCTTTCCTTTCAACAGTATGCAAAATCAACCGGTCTCAATATAAGTTCTCCAGAGGCTTTCCAAACACATCTGCTCCATTTCTTAGAACTCAACTCCATGTTCAAGCAAGACATCAACTTCACAGCAGACAATGAGATTCAGGCCTCTCGCTTTTTCATTCAGTCACTCAACAAAACCACGATGAAGGACATGATGACTGGACTCAGGAAAACAGCGGAGGATTGTCAAATAGAGCTCCTGGTGTACCACCCTGCATTCATCTACTTTGACCAGTATACTGTCATTATGGACAACACCGTTCAAACCATCCTGGTGGCTGTGATGGTGATGCTCGTCGTCTCACTCATTCTGATACCCAGTCCTTTTTGTTCTGTGTGGGTGGCTTTTGCTGTTTGTTCAGTCATTGTTGGTGTGGCAGGCTTTATGGCTCTGTGGGGCGTAAACCTGGACTCTATTTCCATGATCAACCTGGTCATGTGCATTGGTTTTTCTGTAGATTTCTCAGCACATATTTCTTACTCTTTTGTGTCGAGCTGTAAGAGTGACGTCAATGAGAAAGCTATAGATGCTTTGGCCCATTTAGGCTATCCGATACTACAAGGAGCATTGTCCACTATTTTAGGAGTGGTGGCGCTGTCCATGTCTAGGAGTTACATCTTCAGGACATTCTTCAAGATCGTGTTTCTTGTCATTACATTTGGGCTACTCCATGGCTTAGTGTTTATTCCGGTGTTTCTGACACTGTTTGGGGCCTATAGGAAGTGGTGTTAAAATGGGCATTTACCATTAAACTGAAATTTGAATTCTTCATTCTTTTTGTGTAAAGAAACGTAATCTAAAATGATACTGCAGCTGTTGTGCATAATTTTCCCTTTTTTTTTGTGGAAACGGTGACTAAGTTTCCAGCCTCTTTCCAGTCTCCTTGTCAACACGTGTTTCCCTGTACCTAACCTGAGCCCAAAGCAACTGCTGACGATATCTGCCTCACAGCTAGCCCACTGCCTGTGTGTCTGTTGGAACTACAGTGATACTATGAAATACGTTTAGTGCCCACCTCCACAGATATCGAACCAATCAAATTACAGTACTGACATCATCATTTGGAAGCAACACTAATGTAGATCAGTGGTTTTAAACTTTTCTTTTTAAACGGACACAACTTAGACCACAGACCCTATTTTATAAGATTTGACTCAGGGTCCTCCATCTGATTTTTGCTTTTAGATGTTTCATTACAGAATGGTATAAAACCTGTGGCCAAAATCGTCATACACTGCCACTGTCTTACTTGTGGATGGAATTATAGTGAAAATGTATGATTCCGCTTTTTTCTGAGGACCCCTAGAATCCTCTCATGGACCCATGGACTCCCACTTTGAAACCACTGATGTAGAGGGTACTATCACAGTAAATAAAGCTTAAATAAGTGAGCCAGTGTCTTACTAAAACATAATGAGAATTATTCCTAATTTATTCTGTCCTGGCATATCAGACATGTGAACTCTGCAGATTTTGTTTGATTTGTAACAATGGTATCTCAGGTAAATCTTTAACACAGTAATCACATACCTCACACACACCAAGAATCAGAAGTTTTTATTTGCACTTTATTTATTTATTATTGCACAAACATTCACCAACCATTGCTATCACACTGTTGAGAGATTTTGTCAGTCAACAACAGAGAGCCATTCAATGTGTTCACAGCATAAAAGCTTTTCTATACATCTATATACAATGTTTCTATTACATCCTGATCATATATGTACACAGCTAAACATAGATAAAAGGCCAATAAACAGAAGAAATAGTGTGTCAAGTTAAAGCAAAATAAACCCTTCAGAAAAAGGTAACACTATGAAGAATAACATATGCTGGTGGTAATCTTGACAGGAGATATCCCGATAAATGAAATCAGTGTTTCAGAATGCTAAAATATGGATTTCTAACTATTCACTTTAAAACTGACACATTTAACATTTTAAGAGACATAACTGCAAGTTTCTACACACAATCTGTGTTGAAGAAATGTCATATTTGGAATCAAGGATGTCACTTTACAATCAGACTTTTTACAGCATAACTTCCTATATACACAGAGCAATGCCAGGAAGCACTGAACATTGGCTTAGACATCTTTCTTCCACTGCACTGTGTAAAATGCATTAAAACAGAAAGGTATACTGTAGAGAACTAGATGTGAGACATCTCTCTGCTTTGAAGTAATGACAAAGAAGACCGCAAGGGACAATACCTGACAGAATTCACCTTGTTTGTCTGAATAATCTAAAGCTTAAGAGTCTTCAATCCACTCGTTATTACAAGAAAAGCTGATATTTTGCTGAGAGGTTTTTCAGAAGCCAAACTCAGGACTATTTAAATAAATTAGGTCAAAGTTACAACCTTAAAATCCTAGATTTCAATGCTCTATCACTACATAAACAGAGTTTGTATTTGTCACATGCTTTTTGAGGCTGAGTAGCAGTTTTTGAGCCATCTGTACACGCAGCATCAATTAAATAAATTACATGAAGAGTGCACAAGTGCATTTTAATTTGTACACTTAGCCAAAGTGCTGAGACCTAAAGCTGAACTTTATACACTTTCTACTTTAAAGAAAAAAAATTCACACATACAGTACATTCCCCAAAAGGCCACCTTTAAAAATAAGTAACAGGGACATATGCAGAGGGGTACATCAGGACAGGAGAATGTATATCTCCCAATAATCCCAGACACAAACAATCAAATGGAAAGTTCCGCACCCCCACCATTAAAGTTCTAGGTGCCAAATTGAGAAACACAGCCGAGTATAGCCTGAACTCGCAGATATTCTAGACCAATAACAGATACAACCACTGGAAGACAACTGACAAATGGGAGTTGACACTGAGTTGAGATAAAGTCTACTTGCCACAATTACACAGTATCTTTGGATTAAAGATACATGGTGCTCAGCATTTCCCATTAACAGAAAAGGAATCCATGTAGACCTGGCTGACCAGAATTAGACCAAATTCCAACTAGTTTTTCATATTAAAAGAGGAATCCTATGCAGATACTGTTTACACGTTTGAGGTGCCCAATTACATTCATGATCTTTTCCTCCCACCAACTGATAAAGTGACATGAGCAATATTCTCAGCATCCTTTCATTTTTATCACATACAATGAAGGTCTTAAATTCTGGAAAGTCCTGTGTAAGTTTCACATAACAGAACTACTTATTTGGGAATATTGATGAGATTAAATGAAGGTGACAGCATAAAGATGTGACATAGTCCCACATAAGCACTTGTCAATAGACTTTGTGAATGCAGGTAATGACTTCTTATTCCTCTGATTCACTGCTCATGTCCATCCCTCCTTCCATGACCCCTGAGCTCATAACATCTGACCACTTTTCCCGCTGCTACCCCATGATTGTCGCTTCCTTCGCTGGTTTCATCTGACCTCCAGGTTCTTGCCCTCCAGGACCAGCTGGATCTCTTTGGCGTCCAGTGTCTCGTACATGAGCAGAGCATCTGCCAGGTTTTTGTGCTCTTTGGCACGAGACTTCAGCAGGGCTTTGGCACGCTCATAAGACTCCTGGAGACAGCAAGAGAAAAGATGGTGAGAAGGTTTTACAAGAGCTGGTTGGGTCGCTGAATCCCCCCCCAAAAAAATAACATTCACACAGACCTTCAGTAACACCCTGATTTCCTGCTCCACAGCTGCTTGGGTCTCTGGGCTCTGGGCTGTCATGTCGGTATAGGTCATCACACCCAACTGGGAGACAGAAATTGGAAACAAATGCATAAATGTATGTAAAATGACTGTAGTCTGTGATCCATGTGTGGTACAAATACTATGAACAGTTATCCCTTTTCAAGTAAGCCTACCTTTTCACACATTCCAAATCTGGTCACCATCATCTTAGCAATCTTTGTAGCACTATCAAAGTCACTTGATGCACCTGGAGAAGAAGAAATGACAAATACGTAAGTTTCCTTAATAAAATTCAAGCCTGCCGATGTAAGAGAATCAAGATCTTTCTGCCCTTTTCAGAGCTCTTTCTTACCGGTTGTAATGTACTCTTGGCCAAATATGATCTCCTCTGCCACGCGCCCGCCCATACTGACGTCCATCTGGGCCAGCAGCTGAGAGCGAGTCTCACTCCAGCGATCGTTCTCTGGGAGCATGGACACCTGAGAGGAGACACTGAAGTTTAAAGTAACGAGTAATTGCAGTAGACCTGGTGACAAAGCTTAGTTTACAAGCTCTAGGTTTCCTTACATGTCCCAGACTGGGGCCTCTGGGCATTATAGTAGCCTTGTTAATTGGCATGGCGTCTTTGGTGTAGTAAGCAACGATTGCATGGCCTGATTCATGGTACGCTGTGATCATCTTGTTCTTCTTGTCTATTTCTGCACTCCTCCTCTCAGGGCCTTGAAGAAAGAAAAAGAAAATAAACAATTGAAGAAAAAGGGGATTAAAAATCAGACAAAAAGAATAAAAAAGACAAGACGATGAGAGTGATCCCTCAAAATAAATAAGCTTTTGCTGTGCTAGATGAAAACATTCAACCAAGGTAAGGATTAGTAGAAAGATTAAGCATTTTATAATTATTGCAGGCAAACCAACTAATGAGGAAGTTGGTAAAGAAAGCAAAGCTTCTGTGTCACTCACCCATGAGGATTTTATCTTTAGCAAACTCCAGCTCTTTCAGGGTGACCATATCTTTGCCATCAACTGCTGCCTTCAGGGCAGCCTGATTGACCAGATTTTCCAGGTCAGCGCCAGAGAAGCCCACAGTGCCCCGAGCAATAATATTGGCCTCAATAGCTGCAGAGACAACACAGAACATCAACAGTCAGTCTAGGTCTCAGGCTAAGCTACTGTTTTTATATCATCTATCATCATAGGAGAAAGAATATTGTAACCAAATTCTGTATTAGCAGATGCTAATCTCACACCTGGATCCACTTTAATCTTCTTTAGATACCAGTTGAGGATCTCTGTGCGTCCTTTCACGTCTGGTTTGGGGACAGTCACCTGCATGTCAAAACGTCCAGGGCGGATCAGGGCACTAAGAGAGAGGATCAGTTGGTTGGTAAAATACAGATACCATGTCAGCATACAACTCTGTGTCACTGCATTAACAACAGCCACAGAGTTCATTCTTTGTTATTGACAAGGAAAACTGTGACTTTAAGGTGTGTAAAATCAGACATTTGTAAATGTGCAATGTAAGCTATGACATTTTCAAAAGCTAGGCGAGAGACAGAAAGGTAAACATACTTATCCAAAGCCTCTGGGAAGTTGGTTGCTCCAATGATGATCACGCCCTCATTTGGTTTAAACCTACACAATAAGATCAGAGTACATGCAGGTCAGTGTCTGCAATGCAGTGACTCTTGTTTTCTGCTGTTTTCTTACCACAGCAATTTTCAGCATTCAAATTCATGTTTTGAGCCAGCAGTGCAGTACTTCCTTACTACTTAGTACTTTCTCCTTGTTTAGACCAATACTGTACTGTACTGTATGTGATAAAAGACTGTTCTTTAGACGCTGTAGTTGTAGACAATCAAACACAGGCCACATTACAAATCAGTCAGTGGGACTGCTTGAAGGTTGGATTAGATTTATAGGGTATAACATTAAGTCCTTTCTTTAACTGAATTAGCTTGAGAAAACACATTCCAATATGGTTATTTTATCTATAGATGGTCTCTCAATTAAATGTACTGTATCACAATACAAAATGTTATACATCATGACAGAAGATCTTCCATATGACCCACCCCTACTGCACACACACACACATACATTGTAAACCCACCGTATTGCCTGGAGGACGTGCCAAATTTGCTTTAATCTGAATTAATACAACTCCTCACTCAGTGAATTCCTAAAATGTAAAAATGCAACAGAGAATTTTAGAGATTACCCATCCATCTCAGCGAGTAGTTGGTTGATAGTCTGTCTGGAATAAGGGTGCATGGGAGACTCAATCCTTTTCCCACCAACACTATCCAATTCATCAATGAAGATCACACAGGGAGCATTGGCTTTAGCCTCCCCTAGAAAAAAAAGTAGCAAGACAAATATATAAAGAAAACACAAAATACACCACACAATATTCAGCACAACAATTATAATTACTGTTTTTACCACAGCCTGTATTAGAGGAAGTCAGCTTTACACACTTACAAGTGATTTGTAAGGAAGGTAGAGGAAATATATAATAATAATAATAATAATAATAATAATAATAATTTTAAAAAACCCACTGAAAAGGTTCCTGATGCGGCTGGCTCCCACTCCAACAAACATCTCATCAAACTCGGACCCAGAGGCATAGTAGAATGGTACATCAGCCTCTCCTGCCACAGCTCTGGCCAGCAGAGTCTTTCCCGTCCCTGGAGGACCAACCAGCAGAACACCTACAGAGGCAGGAAGGACGAGAGGAAGGATGAAGAATGAGAGAAACACAAAAACAAAGCCCTGAATGGAAGTGTGCAATCACCACATCAGCTGAAAAGTCATCATAACCATAACCTTCGCAAGAGCAGAATATAGAAAAATCAAGACGCTATAAATGGTTAGCCCTACCTTTTGGCAGCTTTCCACCCAAGGCTGTGAACTTTTGTGGGTTTTTCAGGAACTCCACCACTTCCTGCAGCTCATTCTTAGCTTCTTCTACCCCTTTGACGTGCTCAAACGTCACATTTTTCATCTGGACAGGGTCAACTGCCGAGTCCAGGCCTGATGTGGTCCGGAACCGCACTATCCGAAATGGTTAGATTAAAGTTCGAAAATCACACTGCATGGCACGGTTAATGAACACACACGCAGACACTGCCTGTTACTGAGCATGAATTAAGAACCACATCTGATTACATATATTAGTGCTTCAATACTGCAGCTTATAAGTATGGTAGTTTCTGTAGTCCGCAAAGAGCAGAAAATGGTTCAGTTATATAAAGCTTCGTTATTTTCTTTCATGGGTTACTACATGTTCAATATGCATGGATTAGTTTAGCAAAGACAAATGCTGAGCTTTATTATTATTATTATTATTATCATTAATACTTTAGTATATTAAAATGCAAATATATTAAAGATTAAAAAAAAACTTAAAAAGCAACTTCAAAGGAGAAAAGGAGCCTTTACCCGATATGAAGGGGGTTTTGGAGATACCATAGAGCCCAACAAGAAGCAGCACCAGCAGGATGAGACGAGTCCTCCTGAGAGACTCTGAACAGTTGGAGCAGGAAAACTATACATCAGTGGTGTTTAATAATATGCTTAATAATGGATTCAAGAAGAGCGTCTCTGTATTAAAACCTGCCTTGTGTGCGTTGTGTCAAGGCTTGGGCTTTCAGGAAACCCTCAGCGAAGCCCTTCTTGAAAGCATCCTGCTGGCCTTCAGGTATGTTTTTGTTCTTTGACAGGCTGTCTAGACTTTCAATTTCAACCCCCTTGTCACGTGTCAGGAAACCCTGCAGTACAAGGTAAGATTGGTTAGCAGTATTCACACAGCCTGAACACTACTTCCCTTTTATCACTCCTTGACTCTCAAGGCGATGACACTGGACACACTTTGAGAAACACTTTAAGACTTAAGATGCACCTGCCTTTCTCTTTAGATTCCTGCACGGGCAGAACAGCCGGAGGCCCCTTTTGTGCTATCAGCCGATTTCAAAATGCTAAGGCTACACTTACTGGTATCCAGTTTAAAGCTGTATCTTTATCATGCTTATTACATTAAGAACATTGAGGAAAGTAATAAGCACATTTAGCATATCCATAACATGCTTAAGTATTTTCTTAAGCACGTGAACATCTCTAAGTACGTACCTTCATAAAAGATGGTGTGAAGCCTTCAGATTCAAGTGGGCGGTCAGAGGCTGACTGCAGTCGTCTGGTTTTGCTCCTAAAAGTTTTAAAGCCTCTGCTCTGGACCCACACTTGAAATATAGTTAGAATATAATGTTTAAGCAGATTAAAAAGCTAACCAAGTTTCCAAGGCATATAACTAAGCATAAACATTGTAAATAAATATACACATTTTTAAAGGTGTATAATCTATATGTTAAAATGGGAAACCATAGACACTATTGACAATTAACTGGAATATTTATCAGTCTATACTGATCCAAATAACATTCAATCCAACTCTAGTAATTTTTTAGCACAACCTGAATATAAAGCTTTGGATCAGTAATAAACTATTACACCACTTCAATAAATTCTTCGTATCCATAGTTACCTGGCCAGTGTTGTAGCTCTGTGCTGACAGCCTGAAGAGGTGAAGGTTGCTGCCTGGAAAAAACTGGGGTCAACATGGGCATTGCACCAGATGAGAAGCCTGGAAAAGAGGACAAGGTATATCTGGTAACCCTGAGATACCCTTTAGCAAAAAGTGGTAGCATAGGCCCTACTTGTGTGTCTTGATCAAAGAGATTAGATGCATCGGCATCTGGTGATGAAATGTTATGAGGTCAAGTATGTTATGAGTGGTGTATTCATTCGTGGATGATGAGGATGATGAGGAGTCCAGGGGGCTCTGGGGTCCCTATAATCTTTATGTGTGTTAGCCATCAGCAGCCACAACTACGGTGAATCATGAACAGGAATGCAGAAGCTACTGATACCATGACAGTATGAGCACCGGCCACAGGCACACATACATGGTACAGTATGTGAGATCTGTTTATATCGAAGATGCACATTCTCACCATGCTTATTGTAGAAAAAGGAGTGTGTTGAAAGATGTGAGGTCCTCCAGGCTGTCTGTTCACCCGATGGAAGTGGAGCCTCCTGTGGACTCAAGCGTGGTAACATACGATTGACCAGCTCATCCAGCTGCTGTGCTCCCAGGTCTGATAGGCCAAGCTCACGCAGGTTCCACATGGGCTGCCCACAAATACATGATACCATTTTGTGAATTAGATTTATATTCTTCATAAAGTTGTTCTGTAATATGTTTTTTTCTAGTGGAGCGGGGCTATGAGTATGTCCTACTAATGTATACCTCTGTGCAGTGTAGCTCTGAGTCGGAAGCATACTCCTTGTGTTTTCTTGATGTGTAGGCGGCACTGCTACTGCTGCTTCCCACTGAGCTCTTCATAGAGTGGAGGACATTGATGAGGTGGCTAAGGGGTACAGTCACCTGTGATCACATGCGATCAAACAGTGAGGGAATGGCAAGTTCTCAACACCTGTTACAATTATCATCACAAACCCTATTTGTTTGTTAGACCAAAGGCAGCTTAAATAGAAACTGCTGGTAGTCCATCAGCTAGCTTGCTGTTAAGATTATAATCTAGCTAGTTCTAAATAGAAATGTGCCCATATATTACATATTGTTATTATTATTATTATCATCATTTGTCGGTTCAAAAGGTGCAGGGTTATTAGAATATGCAAACCATAAGTATCCAAACATGTCGCCCACTGACGCAGTTTCCCATCTGGATGCTCAACAGATCAGCAGCTAGCTGAAACTTCCCTCAACGACCCAGTTTCATTATCGATAACGTTAAACAGAATAATAACAATACTGACACAGTTTCCAGGGCCCTAAAATATACATTTCTTTCAACTCGTCAAAGCATAACGAAAGGTCGTGTGGCTCACAGGAGAACAAGCTAAGGTTAACTTTGCTTGCTAGCAGGCTCAGCAGACCGGGTTAGAACCAAAACAACAACAATGCTAATGTTAGCTTGGCCTAAGGTTTCCTGCTGTCTTACCTGTGGTTGGACGGTAAAAGAAAACATGTTCAATTCCCACTTGTACAGAAACGGCCGTTGAGCTACGCAAGTTACACCACTGTCCCTGTGAGCTAAAGGTCTGTACTTCTTTCACTTATCTCTGTGTAGCAGGCATAGCAAGACAAAGTGCGAACTTCAGCGACTCAGCTCACCACAGACCGGATATGACATCAGCCGTGCTGTGACACCTTTGGTGTCCCTGTCGAAACCTGCTCTCCTTTTTCTGACCTAGCTTTAAGGTCCGTTCATCCAGCTTCTTGTAATGCACAACTTTAATATCATGTTACTCATTTACATTAGTGTAAAATGTGATAACTGCAGTTTATTGTCTCTATATGTTTGACAGCTCGGGGTTTCAACGCTGATACATAGGAATAAGAAAAGATGAAAGTCAACATCCCCTTCTCACAGAAAGTCTAACCAAAGTGGTTAACTTTGAGCATCACAGTCAGAGATTTACTACGATATATATGTTTGTCCCAAGAATGTGTTTATTGCATGTCAAAATCTGCTTCATATACTTATGTTTTACAACTGTATATTTGAAAGCACGACACCCTTGCTTAAACAGAGTATTTCACTGTACAGCTGACAAGACACAAGAATAAACATATGGATTGTCCTTACTTTGTATTGCACTTTTCCACAAGTGCAATCTTTGATACTAATGCACTGAAGCCATACAATAATTATACAAATCTACACATAAATATTTGTCACCATGTCTATTTGGTCTAAAAAGAAATATTTCTAATTCGTACAATGAATATAAAAGGCTGATGTCCTTATCAGAAAAAAAAAGTGAACTTGACAGAAAATGTTTGATAAATAACTGGCAATGACGGTGGTGAAAAAAAATCTTCACTTAAGGTCCACAGCTACTGTATGATCATGGATTTATTTCAATTAAAAGTTGACTCGGTTATGTGAGTTATGTATACAATGAATTTCTGGCAATCTGTGAGACATGTCATAAATAAGATCACCACATAATGCTAAGCTAACTGTAACACAGAAATCTGCCTGCACTTATAATGCAAACATTTTCCTCCCTCTCTTAAATACCTAAAAAGTATCCATGAAGTCAAAATGCTACACTATATTGCAGAGTCTCTCTTTAAACACATTTTTGACCATTCATTTATCTAAGGTAGCTTTTCCATTTTTGCTGGTGCCTCATTACACTTTGGCTGTGGTAGTGGCTCGAAAAAGCCACAAAGCAACAAAAGTGCAACAATTTCATCCTGCGCTCATGTTCTTTGATTGATGCCGACGGTTGTCTGACAATTCAGGGGATTTTCCTGTGGAGTGAAACAGAGTTTAAGTAGTCTGTAGGATGGCCATAAAACATTAGTGACAACAAGGATATTGTTGATCAGTATTTTGTTCACCTTCTCTTCCGTTGTAAATAAACCTGAACAAGCCAATGGGCAATCAGAGGCCAGAGTGCAGTCAAGACCACTGTGAGTGGGCAGAAGTCAAAAGGCCACCAGGATGGTCTCAGGAACTATAAAAATAGAAACCTTCATTACATTAAAGCAACTGTTTCCTAATCAGGTACTACTTGGTCATAGAATTGCATAATAAAAACAAAAACAATGTTCAATATTTTTATATAGACCTTTTGTGCTACAGGCAAGGAGTCCTCCTGCCTTGGCGAAGAAGATCTTGACTGAAAAAAAACATTATTAATAATTAATAAAATATAGAAATCTATGAATACATATAGAATAAATTGCCCAGGAGACTGCCATCAACAATGTAATATTTCAAACAAGCAAAGTGTTTTGTTTTTTTCCATTTCAAAAATATGGGGGAAGAAATCAACAGCTAGTGTGATGGCAAGAAGAAATAACAATAAAACACCCCTGGTCTTTCACCTGTGACACCGTCAGCGCCTCCAGAGTGTGCAGCCTGTGCAACACAGTGGTCATGTCGTGCTGCAGCCTCAGCAGAGCTGTAGCTATTTGCTCATTGATGTTTCCCCTGGCAGCACTGAGCGGGTGGCTGCTCTGTGACACACAACAGCACGCAGCATCTGCACTGGCACAACGCTGAGAGCTGCATGTTGCCCTTGGTGACTGAGAACCTGAAATGGTAGTCAGAGTGTGACAGCTTAACAACAACATGCAACTGTGGAAGACTGTGCTGTGTTTAGGGTATCTGATGCATTTAAATTCTCAGGAAGATAACGTGCTAAGTGCCCATCTTAGGAGCGAGGTAAATAAATGGAACAGCGTCTGCATAAATACAAATCGACTAGTGCAGTCTCACCTCTCCCTCTTCTTGACAAGGAGCTGTTGTGTTGGCTTGTACTAATCCCTTCTTTAAGGTAGGTATCTCCCATGATCACTTGATCCTCTCCTCCGTTCAGGGTAGTGTTGCTCTCAAACCAAAGATCCTTTTGCCTCACTGACGCAGAGCCTGATCCAAGTGACAGCATGTTTGATGTAGACTGCCCCTTGTTAGAAAAAGAATAGAGTCATCCACAGTTTGAATTAAGGGAGAGCATGTTCAAATTTGTTCTTTATATAATGTTGACATGATTAAACATTTTGGGAAATAAACTTTTTTTCTTGCTGAGGGTTGCATGAGAAAATGCACACCAATCTCTTATCTGTCCATTAAATATGAAGCTACAGGCAGGAGACGGTTCGCTTAGTTTAGCATATAGAGTGGGAGCAGCTAGCCTGGCTCTTTGGATGTTCAAAAATACACTAGATAAAGATAGATAAATACACTAAGCTCTAAAACTCTGGAGCTAGTTTAATCTGTACAAAAACTGAAGTATGAGTATTTAAACAACATGTGGGTTTATGTGCTGGACTATTTCTTGCACAATGATTTCCTGGAGTCTTGTTCTATAGTGAACTTCAGAGATGCTGGTAGACGTAGGTCAGCTCTTTCCCAATGCTTCTAGTCTTTATGTTAAGCTAACTGTCTCCTGGCTCTGGCTACACATTTATGTGAGTGATACTGAAAGAGAATAAGAATATTTGCATAAATGTAAACTAATCCTTTAATGTGGTGTACACTTTGGAGGAGGGATACCACACCTCTTCCATGGCCAGATGCTCCATTGAGTCACAGAATTCTTCATTATCTGAGTCTGTGGATCGGTGGTTCTTCTCGGGAACAGCATCACTATGATCTGAACAGTGCAAAACACAGCAAGCCAACAATAATAAACATGGGCAATATGGAAAATGATATGGTTCTTCACTGTACATCTACATAATAAACAATTGGTTTGGTATATTTTTAACTACATTTTCATATTGCAATGTATACCAGAATTAAGTTATGCATATTTATTCAATATTTTATAACAACAAAGGATCACATGACTATGTGTACATGAAAGAGGTTGCTCTTAGTGACAAACCCTTAGACTATTATCCCTGGACTCTGCAGCTCCCCTCAGCTTCATAGAGCATTTTGGTTCAGCTCATTGTTTTGGTTTTCCTACCACCATCTTACTGTTTTGGTTCAGTCTCATTGCACTTCTCACACTAATGGTGTCCTTTTTAAACACTACCTTCCCAGCGCCAAATAACAAAAAGACATTAATTTGCACTTAGCAGCTAATGAGCCAGATGTTTCCCTCAGGAGTTGGTGGAGACCAAAACAGAGCTTAAAGGAGAGTGAATTTTGACCTTTTATTCACCAGGAAAGGTAGCATTTGCAAACGACAGTAGCTTTACCTTCAGGACAACACAGTATAACTTACAGTAAAATGTGTAATATGTTTACACCTCTTTGGAGGTTGCTCAGATTTCTTTTCCTTCTTAAGTGCACTTATTTTTTCAAGAGGAACATTTTCCCACAGAGATCATTTTATATTTGGTCTTATAGTACATCTTGTAGTACAAATGGAATCTAGAAGAGTATAATCATTTCTATAAACTGTTTTGACAAATGCCTTGTCACACTGCTTTAGTACATAATGTTATACAATAATATACACTTAATGTGTAATCTTACCATTCAGGTGTCCATTAAAGTGCATATAGGAGTTACACTGTGCACTGGGCTCTATGGAACAGGTCAGTTCCTCCTCCTCCAACTCGCTGTTGAGGGAGCTGTGTGTCCCGTTGGTGAAGGAGGACATGCTGGGTTCCACACTGCTGTTGGACCACATGGTGTCAGACCTCCACCTCTTGTTGTCCGCCATCAGGAGCCTTGGGTCAGGACTCCAGTCTGAGACCACACAAAGGAGAGCCACAGAGCGAGAGAGAGAATGACCAGGCCTTACAAAAAAGGGCAGTTTCTTTCTTGTGTCTCATTGAAATACTCATTTATATGAATCTATTCAGAGGGAAAACACTACATTCAATTACTTTAAATGGAAACTATGTACGTCTTGCACCCTTTAAATTAACTCAAGGGTGTCATATTATAATGGAAATCCTCCCTCTTTAAACTAAGAAAAGAGAGGCAAAAATGAAGGAAAATTAAAAGAAAGTAGTGCATACAAAAATGCATAAAATGAGAGAGTGTGCATAAAGTAAATAATTAATCTGTGCTACATAAAAACAAGGAATTCATTGGAAAGCATTTTAAGTTGTAAACAGGTCAAAAATATAGAGAGTCATTCTTCAAAAAGTACTGTCCTAAAACACCTGGGCACTGTAGTTTATAACATGTTACTCACACTAGAGTAAATTGTTTTGTTGTTAGGACTATTTTCAGCTGCGGATTGATACTCATTTGTTCCACTGGTGAGTATTTATGGCAGCAGGACTGGGATTGACTCAAATAAACAGAGACTGTTCATGGTAAAGAAGAAACATGTCACACAATGCAACAGTGGTGTTGATGTGTTTTTAGGTGGTTCAGTGGAGCTCTGTTGCACAGAGATATAGATACACGTACCAGGCATTGTTTTAGTCTTTTCATGAGCTTTGTTGACATTAAGAAATAAATGTAGAATATCACCAGCCTTACCCTTTAAATCATGTAAATTATGGATTAGTGTGTAACCTCAACAACACAACTTCACAGCACAAAACACCTAACAACTACAACTACAGGTGGTACCTTTTTCCTCCTCCTTGTCTTCATCTTCTGTATTGTCTTCTTCATCCCCATTCTCCTCTTCCTCACTTTTCCAATCACTACTGTCCTCCTTTCTCTCGATTTCACTATTTTCTTTGCTTCCCCCTGCCTCCTCGCTACTGACACTTACACCACGAGCGCTGCTGTCTGTGTCATTCTCATGGAGGTTCTGTATATCATCCCACAGATCCCCATAGCCTGAACGGTGAGGGAAATACTCTTGATTAACTCTCAAAGTATATGTTCCACAACATACAGAGAACACGGTGCAGAGCTTTTACACGCTACATCTCTACCAAAAAGCAATGGCAGCCAACAACCAACACACCAACTAACTACAGCACACACACACACACGACAGATTACATGAGACACATCTAACAATCTAATTTCCTTCAGCTCCTGCAGAGTAAGCCATTGTACACTTATCGGCCTTTTGCCATTAAAATGAAACGACAATGAAAGCAACTTCATTAGGTCCAAATAAGCTCACACAGTGTGGGACCAGTCCATCAACTCTACAGCTACAACGAACACCGAAGACTTGCCTTCCATTGTTGGTTTGTGAAATGGTTTGACCAGCTCGTCTAGTGATAAAAACACATGTAAGAGAGGCTCAGTATTAACTTAGGAGAAAAAAGCATCCGTGTGACTAACAAAGAGAATTAACAGCAGGAGTACATCCCAACTGAACAGTAGAAACCCCCCTGGACTGCATTCTTTTTTCCTTTGATGAGCACCGCTGATCAGGTACATTACCTGCATGATGTACAAAGGGCCTGGTGAATGGTCTCTTGTCCACCTCATTTTCTTCCTCTTCTTCTCCTTCTCCATCTACTTCTGTGTAGAAGCTGCCGAGCTTCTGTACCAGGTCAGACACTTCATCCGATATTGGCATGGTCTCCAAAATCTGACACATAAATAATCAAGTTTATGTTAAAAAAGGATTGGAATAATTTGCATAATTTGATATTGTCAGAATGAAACACATTTTTTTTTTATACAAGTAGCTGTGATAAGACCGTCAACAAGGCAGCAGCAAACAAGTTCATTAGATATAATTATAGACTGAACAAAATTATAAACGCAACACTTGAGTTTTTGCCCCCATTCATCATGAGCTGAACTCAAAGATCTAAGACTTTCTCTATGTACACAAAAGGCCTATTTCTCTTAAATATTGTTCACAAATCTGTCAAAATCTGTGTTAGTGAGCACTTCTCCTTTGCTGAGATAATCCATCCACCTCACAGGTGTGGCATATCAAGATGCTGATCAGACAGCATGGGTATTGGCCACGATAAAAGGCCACTCCAAAATGTGCAGTTTCACTGTGTGTGGGGGGGGGGCAAACCGCTCACCCACACGACGCCATACACGCTGTCTGCCATCTGCCCTGTACAGTGAAAACCAGGATTCATCCTTGAAGAGAACACCTCTCCAAAGTGCCAGACGCCATCAAATGTGAGCATTTGCCCACTCAAGTCGGTTACGACGAAGAACTGCAGTCAGGTCTAGATCCTGATGAGGACGACGAGCATGAAGATGAGCTTCCCTGAGACGTTCCTGACAGTTTGTGCAGGAATTCTTTGGTTATGCAAACCAATTGTTGCAGCAGCTGTCCGGGTGGCTGGTCTCAGACCATCTTGGAGGTGAAGATGCTGGATGTGGAGGTCCTGGGCTGGTGTGGTTACACCTGGTCTGCGGTTGTGAGGCCGGTTGGATGTACTGCCAAATTCTCTGAAACGCCTTTGGAGACGGCTTATGGTAAAGAAATTAACATTCAATTCATGGGCAACATCTCTGGTGGACATTCCTGCAGTCAGCATGCCAATTGCACGCTCCCTCAAAACTTGCGACATCTGTGGCATTGTGCTGTGTGATGGAACTGCACATTTCCGAGTAGCCTTTTATGTTGGCCAGCCTAAGGCGCACCTGTACAATACCCATGCTGTCTGATCAGCATCTCGATATGCCACAACTGTGAGGTGGATGGATTATCTTGTGAACAATATTTGAGAGAAATAGGCCTTTTGTGTACATAGAGAAAGTATTCGATCTTTGAGTTCAGCTCATGATGAACGGGGGCAAAAACAAAAGTGTTGCGTTTATAATTTTGTTCAGTGTATATAACAAAGGCTGACTGATCTATCTGTTGGACCTGCTAATTAAAGCTGATTAAAAACAGCAGGTGACTGGAGGAACTGAATGTCATGTAGGTGCTATGAGGTGAAAAATGAACAAAAGCATTTGCAAACGCAGCCTCTGCTGTTAATAGGTTCTGTCACTGTTCAATAAATATCTAAAATATACACAATTAAGTGAGTCATTTTTTAAATTAACAATGAAAAGAAAGAGTCTAGAGCCATATGCTCTATGAAGCACAGATAAATGTTAATGTCAGGATGCTAACATGCTCATAATAACAGTTCTAACATGCTAATGTTCACCATGTTCACTCACTATCTGAGTTTAGCCTGTTAGCCTGCTAACATGTTCTAATTATTAGTAAACACAGACTACTGAGGCTGATGGGAATGTCATTACTTATGCAGGTATTTGGTCATAAACTAAAGTACAGGACAAAGGGAAGTTTTGCTAAATGAAAAGTTATTACGATTAATGGTCAGCCTGGTCTGTACAAAATGTCATAGCAATCCATCCAATAGTTGTTAAGATAAAATAATGAAGATGTGAAATGATTGACCAACATTGAGCATCATATCCAAATAAACCGTCTTTCAGTGTAGTTAAGAGACTCTGACATTGCTAGCAGACATACATATAAATATGCAGTGTATTATAGATATAAATATATTTGCTGTATGTGAAAGGCACATTCTCCAAAATGTAAGGAGAGTTGCGTGTTCCAAGTTTATGAACTGTTTATTATTCTGTACGCTGCTTCTATTCAGCTTTAATTTCCCTTGAAAGGACTTACCAGCTGGATGTTCTCAATGTAATTCTTCATGGCTTCCTCTCTTGTCATATTTCCCAAAGAGCTCCATGCATCCCTGGTAACACAAAGTCTTAGCTGAACACTAGAGCACTGAGAAGAAAGTGAACACTGAATAACTGCACAGTTGCAGTGGTAACAGGAGGTGCATAAATCTCACCAAACTTAAAATATTCTGTACAGGATTATCCATTGGGTTTACCTCCAGTATTGTGCAGTAATATTTGGGTATTATTTTTAAAAAATGATGGTTTTGTAACAGTGTTATAGCAATTAGCATTGCTATTAGCCATAACTCTGAATTTAGATGTGGAAATAAGGACATATTATAAGTATTTACCATTTAGCTTTGCCATGAGTGTCCCAGAAGCCGTTTGGTCTGGGGATGTTGCAGGGCCCCAAGGTGGCCTGCTTGTAGTAACTATAGAACATCATCATCATGTCATCAGATGGCTGGAAAGGACCTGCAGAAGCAAATTTTAAAGGGATCAAGATACACGTGCAAGACAGCCTGCAAATGTAATCAATTCATGAAATGTTATCCTGGGATACATGTGAGTTAGAGGAGTTGTTATTAGACTTTAGAAACGTCTGATTTAGTTAATCAGCTCTTATCCTTACAGCAGCTTTATCAATAGAGGGTTAGCCAAGAGTGACAGCTCTTAAATGCTCTGCATGTAGGTCAATCACCTAGAGTGTTTACACACCAACAAGCACAGACCTCATACTATAGAGCACACACGTACATTTAAGTCCAAACACTTTAATTCGTAGATAGGATAGAGTCAAATTAGAATAAGTTATCACCTTCTTCTGGCAAACTTCGGATCACTTTAACTGCAGCAGCAAATTTCTCCTCCAGGCTGTGTTTGTCCTCCTCCTGCGCCATTCTGAGCCCCAACAAGGATGCCATGAAGGAGTCCTCACCTCTTCAACAAGAATATGAAGCCGTTAATGGAAAAATCGAGGCTGTTCCGAAAGTGATCAGTAAAGAACACCTAAACATATTTTTTCTATCACTGCAGCTAGTTGCCACTTGTCTTATCTAAGGATGCGGGCTGTTTGCTCTTTATTCTAGGAGATCTTTGGATAGAACTGATCTATTTAACAAGTCCTTGTTGGTTTAGCGACAGACTAATACATTCTTTAACAGGAATATTTCCCTCTGTGCCTGATGTGTTAGAAACTCACCATAAAATTCATATTCGCCAGTGAAATAATTATTTCATTAGCCCGGTGTCTGTGTGCAATATGCAGTCTCGACTCCGGTCAAGGATGAGCCAACTAGTCAACGTCTGATGAATAAACATACATGGGAAATGTAGTTTTTGTTGAGCAAAAACTTAGCATGGTGGCTTAAGACGCAACCCTTACTCCTCCATATCCCACAAACCCTCCTCAGCGGGTATTTAAACCGCGGTGATGTATGGGAAATGTAGTGTCGCGTGATTATTCTTTTTTAAAGTACTGATGTAGGCTGCTGACTATTGTGTTGATGAGTCATTTATACGGAATCGAGTGTTCCAATAAATCGGCCACAAATATTAGGCATGATCTGCTATCCCACAATGTAGCAAGTGATTATCCCCAGTGTGGGATCAATAAAGTCTATCTTATCTTTTGTTTGGGCTAGATATTCCATGTATGTCCAGTAACTGGTGACGAATTTCATGATAATGTTGATGTTAGTATAGTTTTATTTGTATGTGCTCTTTTGCTTGTGATTTGTGCCTCTTTTTTAATGATTAAATTACATTTTTGACGTAATTTGACATATTTTCTATTTTGGTGTGTGTGTTTATTTTTCGGGAGAAAAAGAATAAAAAGGGAGAAAGATATGAGTATGCCTACATAATATGTAATTCTCGCATAAATAATATGAATATACTCAATTTAACCTAAAATATATTACTATTACAATGGCTATTTTATAATAATGAAGATACTTATAATAATAGAAAACCCAATATTAATAATAATAATAATAATAATAATAATAATAATAATAATAATAATAATAATAATAATATACAATATTTACTATTACTATTAATAACATTTAATAACTTACATTTTCATTATGGACTTTTACGTCATCACAGTGAAATGTCATTGGTCTAGCGCCCTTCTCCCTCGGCCCCTCGGCCAATCACAGGCCACCGTTTATTACGTAGCTGCCATTTGTCACGGGCTGTTGTGAATCGGAGGCCAGCGGCCCCACAATGCCAGGCGGGGGAGCCCCTCTCTCAGCAACACAGCACAGCATCACCGCCTCGCCTCACTGAAAAGGACAGAGAGGAGAGAAATGCAAAGGGATGTAAGATGGCAGAGCTACAAATGCTATTAGAGGAGGAAATCCCTGCCGGCAAAAGAGCTCTTGTGGAAAGCTACCAGAACCTGTCCCGGGTCGCGGAATACTGTGAAAATAATTATGTTCAGGTAAGAGATGGCTAACGGCCGTTAAATTTGGTGGATTAGTCAGTTATCTCCGTCGTGTCTGCGGTCCTGTAGTAGAAGTGAGTGAAACCACAGGGACAGGAAATGCTGGTCGCAACGAAAGGGATCCTCAAACCGCTAGTTACACGAAGTGGCCTTTTTTTCTCCGGTACTATGATTCTGTGGCGGCTCTGTGCTGTGTCAGGCATGGCCGTGTTTCGTTGTTTTACGGTCGTGTCTGGTCGGCCCCGGTGTGCCGGAGCCGTGTTAACATTGAAAGGCTAGCGTTATGGTCGATGTGTGGAAAGCTGCTGGGGGCTTTTGGAGGGTGTGTCGTTGTTATGACCCAGTGGTTTGTCACTGACTGCATTCTCTGATAGGTACCTGAGACACAATGTAATATCTGCCCCCCGCGTTAAGAAAATGTGACTCTAGCTGTAATGCTAGTTTTTTTTTTATACCAAAAAGGCGTCACACATTTGTCCCCCATAACGGTGTTATAGAGGGAAGAAATCACGAATGAAATCTATAAAGAGCAATTTTCTCGTTCAAAATGTAAAAGCTAACATTAGCAAAACTGTAAGTGCTTAGGAATATTATGTGGATGTTATAACAGAAAATGATTAGTAGAATACCATGAAACCCTTAGTCACTATAAACTCAGTATAACTGTGTCATATTGAGTGAAGACACTCTTGGACTGTTATAATGATTTTCATTAGCTATGTAATCTTTCCTATTAGCCATTAAGGCTCCAAGAGCATCTCTCATCTGTGAGTTTGCTTATTAATGGATATCATTATGTAGGCCGAGACCTTAAAGACTTAAAGGAAAAAACACAAGTCATGTAAGACTCTAGATTTGTAGATAGATGAAGAAAACATGGCTCCAGAGCATGTCCATGGATCATTTGCTTGTAATCAAATGCACAGTGCAGGTCATTGATAGGTGTGTCTGCTTGATTTTGCATAGACACACTGAATGTTAAATCAGTATCAGTAGTTAGAAGCAGTGGTTCACAAATGGGGGACAAACTAGGGACCAGCAAGCTTGACTTTTTATTCATTTCATTGAAAAGAGTCATTATCACTGCTACTGTTATTTCTCCATCCTCTAAATACTGGGAAATGTCAGATCATTCAGATCTGTACATGTTATATAGTTTTTTAATTTGGGACTTTTCTCTTCACAATGATCCATGGTCCAATTTGTATAAGATATTGAAACACTTTGGGGGATTTCTAGCCTGAGGAGTTACATACCTCATCACCCTGTTTCTTTGCCACAGTGAGAGTGTACTCAGTAAATGTGGGTGAGAGTGTGAGCTGACATCGCAGACCATCAGTGTCTGTTGACAGACCGGCACACACCAGAAGCCCCACTGTGCTCCAGCGTGGTAATTTTTTGACTGCGGTGCTGAGAAATCCCACACTTTATGCCGAAAATTAACATGTCAGATCACTTCGCCCTGCTTGTCACCAGAAATGCAATGTAGGTTACGCTGCTTGAATGAACGTTCGGATACTGACAAGCTTATACAACTCTGTGCTGCTCACCCCAATATCACTATGCAGAAAGAAATCTGAGAATTTCATTATTTTGCTTAAAGGTCTGGCTTTATTTTAGTTACAGTCTGTTTTAACTGCAGTTTGATCATTTAAACTGCATTGCTTCTGTGTTGACCCCAGGTGGCTGATATATTGATATATTGATGTTCACATGGGGATGTTGTAAATGTCAGTAATTGGTGTTATTGTGTATTAAATGGTAATTTTGGCAGATTACATCTCATTAGGAAATTGATCATTTGACTCATACATACTCAACTTCATTCATAAAATCATGGATAAAACCTGGCAAGGTTCAGAATTATGTCTCATGGACCCCAACTACAAATTCTGTTCATATTATTGCTCATTGATGATGCAGATAAATTGTCAGTTAGGAATTTGCTTGACATTTTGATGCAGTGAAATTCAAAGAGAGCCTTTACAGTTAAAGGAAGTGAAAACCCACAGATGTTAGGTGTTGCATATTGTCAAGACTCATGTTCATATCAGATTTTGTGTGATTGACTACCTGTCCTTGACATACCAGTTGAGAAAAAAAATCCCTGACATGTTCTGAAACTCGTGTTGTGCCAAACTGCATGAAGCAAGAGCGAATGAGCGAAACAGACAAAGCAGGTGTGTATTTGTCGTAGACACTAATACAATGCTGCCGGATGGCTTTCCATCATAGCTTCTTAAGGCAATGTCCATTCTCATCACCACAACATGTTTGCATCATATTACCTCTTTCTGTAACCCAACACGTTACAAAACCAATAGTGATAACATGTCATGTTTTGTCACATGATGCCACTTAATGCCCGGAATGCCCTGCCATTGTTTTTTGGAAATAGCTGACATCATTCAAGTTAGATTTATTACTTTCATTGTTTTTGCATCCATTTATGTGTAGCTGAATGAGACAGAGACAATGATGAGTACTTTCATGCACAATGGGCCAAGAGATTAGAACTGCCATTTGTCTGGTTTAAGTGTCATAAAAAATAATTTTATAATTTATAAAACATTCTAAGCACACAGCTTATTTTGCTCTGAGACAATTAAGTGATGCAATTGACAGCAGCATCCCATATGATTTTTTAATGCATTTATAAGAAGTGGATGCATGATGCTTTTCATCCCTTCACTGATGATTTTCAGAGCCCTGCACTGTAATTTCACCCTCGCTACTGCATTATCCTGACTTTAGCGTGAAATATGAAGATGCATGCATGCAGCTTCTCCTGAATAATTATTTCTTCAGGGACATTGAAAACATGATCTAGAATTCTACATGCATGTAAACACACTTGACAAACACTACGGGGAATTAAGAGTAAAGAGGCTGTGATATCTTATATGCTCAGATTGTGTGCAGGAAGGATGTGGAATATGTTTCTGTATTCTAAATATAGTAATATATTAACTCTAGCATATAGTGCTTCCAGTGGCTAACCATTTTTTAAAATCTCTTTAGTCACATACTTGTCATACTAGACATAATAACAAATATTACCTGGTTGTCTCGATGTAACGTGGATCTGCATAATCCTTGGGGGAAACATTTTATAAATTTAGTTTTTGTATTCACAATATCAGCTGGAATAGCAAAATTGCACAAAACACTTTAGTGGCAATGCATGCCCTCGTATGTAAATCCACTCTGCAATGCTGGAGAGAAGGAGTTTTATTCTTAGATGAGATATTTTAAATGAGCCACCTGAAAAACCTGTCACCTCCAGAATGATTGGTGGCATAAAAGCAGAACCTGGCTTTGTTTTCTACCTTTATATACTAAAATAGCAGCTCTTGTATTAATATGAGTTGTAGTATGGAGCAGTGACTATCAGGCTGTTTTTGGGAAGCTGATGGGCCTTTGCTGCTTTTGGTTTGTAGACAGGTCTTAACATTTACGTTCATGAAATGCTCCGTCTTAAAATGAACACTGCTTTCTTAATTTTGTTCCCGCATCTGGTTTGCATATCTAAACCACAAAGTGCCGATCAATATTTTTTTCCTCTTCACAAGAAAATGTGTGGAGAATGTTAGTGGAGTGTTACATAGAAGCTCATGAATCAACTTAATATTTCCCTGATGTTGACCCCACCAAAATCCCCCTGTCAGCTCACATGATACCCCTCTGACTCATGGCTGTTTCCTTCATGACTCATGAGGTTAATGATATTCCAGTATCATACCTGGTGTTCAGTATGATGTGGCACTCAGTAATGACTTTATTTAAGTGCATTGTTAAGGTTGAGTCTGAGTCTCAACAGAAAAGAAATTCCAAGTGGAGCCCTTACAAAAAGCCCTTTGTAAGCTTAATATGAAACATAATATCTCAAACCAGGAGAAAGTGGGGGGGGTGGATCTATAATGAATAATGCGTATTAGTGGGATGTAGGTTATTATTACCATGGGTTTTCTGTGGATATTTTCAGACTTTTTAAAATTAGTTTGGAAGTTTTATTAACCTCTCTCCAAGTCCCAGTTCACACATTTTCTTCTTCCCTCTCATTAATGCATTGCACTTGTTAACAGTAACAGTGTGTGTCTGTGTCTGATATTATTGTCTATATGTGTAAGTGTATTTTCTTTTTATCGTTGTGTGTAAGTGACTCAGTAGATACTAAAATAGTAAAATGTGAAACACAATTCAGTGTTTTCCAAGCTCATGTATAAGGACCTGTTCCAGTCTCTGCAGTGTTTCCTCTTCTGACTCTGTGTTTTACAAACTGGCAGTCAAAGGTCTGCATGGGGACATCTGCAGCAGATATTTTGGTGCTTCAGGTGGTTGGTGAGGTAGCAGGTGGTCAGGTGGTCCTGTTGTAAAATGGTGGCATGGTGCAGGCTGTTAGCTTCCTGCTACCAGACACACACATACCAAATTGTGTTTTGGTAACAGATGGTAAATCATCGCTGATGTCTTTGTGGCACTGGTACCGCGTTTATGGGAGTCTAGATTAGAGCTTTAATAATAGGCATGAAATACTGAACAGCTTAAGATACAGGTCAAACTGAATGAGTCTTTCTAAAGGGATAGCTTGGCCTTTTGACAAACACACTTATTTGGGTTCTTGCTGAGAGTTAGATGGGAAGCCACAAGATTATTAGCTCATCTTACACAGGAAGACAGGAAACGGGCAAGCAGGTAGCGTGTTTCAGCTCATAATTTCCTGTTAAACCGCAACTTTTTTTTTTTACCAATGTTTTTATACAGATTAAACAAGCAAGTTACAATGTGTTGATAAGAGAGTAGACTTTTTATTTTATTTGGAGAGAGCCAAACTAGCTGTCTTCCGGTGTTTATGCAAAGTTATGCTTACTGTTTTCTGACATACTTAATACAAAGATATGAGAATGATAGCTTCTCATCAAACTCACAGCAAGAAAGTGAATAAGCATATTTCCTAGATTTCCAATTTTCTTGTATATAAGTACCAACTCAGTTGCTATATATTTATTACATTTTGATGTCAGTTTTTTTTTATTATGTTGAATCCACAGCGCAGCTTCTGTATCACAAGGTGTCATTTGATTGTTCAGTTCTGAGTGTTGTGTAGTGGTTCAGCTCATTCTTAAAGGATAGCTCCTTCTTGCTTCCTGAGGGTTCCTGAATAACCCATGTCATACTCTGAGGTAGGATGTGAGACAACTAGTACTCAGATGACAATTTATCAATTAGTTGATTAAAAGAAATCAATCAATGGATATTTTAATATTTGACTATTTTTAAGACAACATATTGTAACACACACACAAACAAACAAACAAACACATAAATGATATATTTGCAGGTTGCATATGAAATGGTAAAGATTTTTTCACCTCATTTCATGTGTGTACATTGAGCAACTTTGGTGGTTTTTGGCTTTTGGTAAAACAAACTAACCACTTTTATCTTGTAGTAGGCATTTTATACACTAATTAAATCACCAGTAAAATGAAAAGAACAATGTATATTGAAAATAATTAGTTGCAATCCTGCTTCCAGTTTCCGGCAAAAGACTGACAGTTCACTATTTCAATCCATGTTTTGTTTCCAAACTATAAATATGTTCATTCAGTCCCTTCGCTATTTAAAGGCATCCAGAAACAGATGGTTTGCACAGCCGGGTGGAGATTTGGGACCCTATGAAATGTCTTGGCATTCCCACTTACTGGGCTCAACTCCCACCATGCACCTGTCCCATGTTGTCCATCTCAGTTATTCAAAACTTATTGTTGTCCAATTCCAGGCTGGTTTGCATCCACAAAGTCATTCCCTCTGAGAATCATAAACTCTTGTTCACTTTTCTTCAGATCTTAACAGGGCTTTGTGGTTTAAAAATGAGAAAGAATGGCGCTGTCAAATACAGTTCCCTGTAGAGAGCTGCCCTCTCACTCCCTGCTCACACAACTGATAGGAGAGTAACAATGAGAGTGCAGCATTTCCTCTTGAGTTTTCTGGAGCTTACACTGTACTTCCCTCTGCCAACTTCTCTATTTCTTCCACCCACACATCCTTCTACTGATTTTTCTGACTTGTGTTGTCTCTTCCTCTCTGTCTTTCTTTCCTCTCTCTGTCAGGCTCAAGACAAGAAGAAGGCCCTGGAGGAAACCAAGGCCTACACCACCCAGTCCCTGGCCAGCGTGGCCTACCAGATCAATGCCTTAGCTAACAATGTGCTGCAGCTGCTGGACATCCAGGCCTCGCAACTACGACGCATGGAGTCCTCCATCAACCACATATCCCAGGTACCCACCCCAACCCCGGGAAGATACACACACACACTGCATACATACATACATAAATTGGATTGTGTAAATTCATAATGGCCAGGGCCTTTATTTACCTCAAAGCCTTTCATTGAACAGGCCTGTATTAGACACAGGCCTTTATTTCTGATTTCCTCTGTTTTAGAAGCTTTTATCATATTTTAGTAAAATGTTTCCCTATTTGCTGATCTACTTCTGATTTAATTTGCTGCTGATGCTGTTTGATGTTAATGCTAACTCACTACTTCTTTCACGTTTACCTGTTCTTTTAATAAATCCAGGATGATGCACATTTCCACAGCAGTCTTGCCATACTCACCAACAGAAATACTGCATTTTTGTCTTTTTTTGATTAATGCCCAGCTACTGTCAATAAAACTCAACATTTCAGAATAAAAGCCACCTGGTTGCTCACAGGACACAATACTTCCCTTTACTGGTATGCATTTTATGTGAAACAGCTGCAGGAAGACATGAGTTTCATTGACAGTTGCTAAATAGCGATAGAAAAAAAGACAAAGTTGAAGCGGTTAGAATAGATTGGTGAGTGAAAACAGTATATCTTAAAAAAATAAAATGAAATCAGAGCAGCCGTGTGGTGAGTTTGACATAACTCTGTTGTCGTATGTAACTGTTGATGTACATTATCCTGATCCTGTCAGTTTCTCTCCGCCATGGTTATTGTGAATTCTGTCTCTAAGAATGTATTATATTCCATGGTTGGATATTCAGGTTTTAAAACTGTTGCTGTTTTCTATATCCTGTAGAGGAATACTAGTGGATCAAGGAGGATTGTCACCAGCTACAATAAAGCACACACCTACTGGTATTACTCTGTGACACTACAGCAAAGTGCACAATGACACATTCACACATATAAAGGCAGACAGATATGGCAGGGGCATGGATCATGCTGGGGCTGCCAATCCTCTCCAGCCCCTCATGCTTCATCAGCAGTCCTCTCTCTATCTCTCTCCCTCTCTGTGCGCTTCATGCGGCCACCCAGCCAGTGAATGTCCCCCGTCCCCTCCCTATGTGCTTCATTAAGCCTGTCAGGGATGAAGTGAAATCCTGACGCCAGCCCTTTCGCTTGGTTAGCATTTTCAACTCCTGCTCTTCTCCATAGGCTGCAGTTAGATGCAGTCTAATGAAGAACAATGGAAGTTATTGATCCTATAAAGATGCTCAGCGGTGCTTTATGTACCTCCTCCAGTCCTGTGTCCAACCCAAGCCAACCAAGCTGACATACTGAAGGCTTTATTTACGGCAATCCGATGGTCATGTGTGCATACAATATAAAAAGCTACTATTATATGAAGATCCATGTCTGTATATGTAACTGTCTGAAAGTACATAATCTCAGGTACAGATGGGTTGGAATCGACTCAATGATGTCAAAATCTAGAGAAAAGTTAATTTAGTTTAGCGTGCATCTCATACATTTCTGTCTCCAGGGCTTTTAATTCATTATTCTAGCAGTTACGTGTCCAAGAATGGAATTCTCTGGAATTAACTTTCTTGGTTGTGCCAAGTATTTTTTTCTGGCTTAGGTTGTACAAATTGTCTTGACTTGAAAGAGTTAAAATCGGATTAGACGAGAAGGTAGCCAAACATTGCTGCCAAATCCAAGACCCATCTCTGAAGGATTTAAAATCCCACTGCAGAGGAGACAGAATAACACAAGAAATGCTACCACCTAAATGCAAAACAACAGCGTGTTTAATCAAAGCAGAGCTTTTGCAGCTTATTTCTCCTCTCTGTGTATATCAAGTGAATTGAATGGTTGTGTCTGAATAAGTGTGTTTATTCAGTTCAATAGTGTAACCAGTGCTAGGGATTCTGTTGCGGTCCAAACAATAAAGGACCTTCCCATGAGCCTCTTTAGTCCTCTTTTCCATTTCCTTCAGTCCTGCCAGGTTGCTTTCTGATTCATCTGTTCCTTTTTTCTCAGAGCTTTTCATAAATCAGCTCACGTACCAATGTTTTGTGTCATTTTAAAAACTGATAATGACACATAGGTATACACACTTACATGGTTTCATTCATAACTCCAGAATATATTGTCTACTGTAGATTTGTTTGAATTTGTAGACTTGTTAGCGAGCCCTATGAGATCACTGATGATGAAAACAAACATCTGCTGACACGCCTTGGAATCTCAACACAGACGACGTCATATATTATACTCTTGCCAATAACACTTCAGCAAGAGTAAAAAGATGTACAACTTGTTCGACTGCACTGCAGAGACTAATCATTTGCTAAAACACAGATTTATTAGGCTGAAACTACTCTATAGATCCAGCAGTGAAAGAAAAGCTGTACCATCTGCTCTCAGAAACACACTGCAGACGTTGAGCAGACAGCCAGATGTTTATTAGAGTAAAGAGATTACAAAAGAAAATGAGATTGAGAGAGCACAGGAAGGGCAGACTGAGGTCTGTCGAGAATGATTAGGTAACAGTTATTACGTCTAGATGATTTTACTTAGATATCTTTTTTAGCAATGTGCATGAGGAGGAAATGTGAAATGAAGCTGACAGGGTCCAGTCATTCCCTGCAGGTGTGGGCCATGCTTGTTGCACTACTGCTTCAATTTTGATGGGTCTCTAATGGTATTATAACAGTGTAGTATAGACAGGTTGGCCTGTGATGGCATTTGTTGTTTGGTAAAGGTGGCTAAAATCTAGAGACAAAAATATTTCTGAGCACCTAGCCCATCAGCACTTTACTCTCTCCTCCATTTCTTTTTCATCATGACAGCCTACCAGTTTTACAAACAGTACTTTCTCAATCTGTTGAGTCAATCTCTAACTGTCTCTGTCTTTCTGAGTATTATTGTTCTCACTTTCTCTAATCTGCACTCCACCTCTATTTGCCTATCACTGGCAGGAAATAGGCGGGTCTCTCGTTCTTACTTCCCAGCTGAAGCTAGGCGTGTCGCTTCAGTTTCCTCTCTTAAAAAAAAAAGCCTGGCGATATATATATATATATATATATATCTCACATGCAGCACACAGACTTTACGTCACGTACGACACAGAGAGGTTTGCACAACGGGGAGGGCAGCAGTCACGGGTCAACTTCACAACACCTATCAGACTTTCAATCTCTCAGTTGGATTCTCTTCCAGAGAGAGGCAGTCGCAGCGGTGGAGCTGTCGGGTTGACTGGATGAGATGTCTGAGTGGTGATTGATGCGTGACCTCGTTGCTGTGTGGGTCTCACACACACCTACTTACAAAACACTCACATATGCATGCACACACACACACTTATATTTTTTGTTTTCATTTCAAATTCATCTCTTTTACAGTCTAGTAATTCCCAAATGCAGAGAAAAGTACAGTATTTATATGTCTCACACAAGCAGAAACAATACTGAATAACACAAGTGTGACCCCATATTCCAGAGATGAAGCCGTCCATCCTCCCTCATTCTTCCGCACATTTCATTCAGCTTTCCCTCCCTCTCATCATCACTCGCTCCTTCCAGTTTCATCTATCATTCATAAATTGAAGGCCAGCCCGTAAGGCGCCTGCTGTGAATGGGTGCTGTGAGCGATGATGACTGTAATCACAGAAGAGATGGAGGTCATTGGTCTCTCCAATTACTCCTGGTGCGAGGGCTTAAAGGGGAGCTTCGTCAAATGGGCCCCAGGGTGTTAGCAAATAGAGCAGAATTGTAGGTCAGTAGAAGTTCAAAGGCTGAACCCAGAGTGTCTGTCCAAGCAGTGGGAGGCTTGGGGATTTTAAAACCACAGAGAAAAAAACTGGGTGAAATTATGCTACTTTCTTTTTCTAATTGATATCACACAACATGGGCTGAAAATGTCAAGATACAAACTGCTTAAGTGTAGTTAGTGTAACTAGAGTGTAGCAGGTATTAAATATAGATTTGTTGTGTACAGACAAACAAGATTTTGATTGTGAACAGCAAAAAAAAAACTAATCACTGGGTCCCAAATAGTAAATATGCTTCAATAAATAGTAAATATAGTAATGATAAATATGCTTCAATAAAAAGAGTGAGATGATGATGATGAAATGATAAAAAAGAGGATGAGGCCTCAAACGGACCCCTGAAGGATCCCCCTGATGTTCTAATTGCAACTATAACCATGTTGTTCCTGCTGCAACCATTTGAACATTTTTTTAAAAAAAAAACAAAAAAAACAACTTTTGCTGTGTTACCAACTGTTATAATATTTTATGATAAAATCCCTCCCAGGGAAGGTAGGGTAAGTAAGGTGATTATGCCCCCTGAGATCTTGCGAGGCTTTTAACGTGAAACAAATGGAGGAAGTGTCAGGTTTGCATTAAAAGTGCATTATACAGTAATACGCTTTACTGGCACCGGGAAAGCCTTTTAGTAAACTATGATCCAATCTCTTTACAGGGGAAATTAAAAAACATACATGTCTCTAATGATAACCTGTCTAAAATAATAGCAACTCTTAAGTGAAGTGAATGAAAGTATTTGCAATATGAGAAGTTAAAGTCTGTTGTATGCCACCACTCATGTCCCTCTTAATTTCTTTCTCCTGCAGACAGTGGATATTCATAAGGAGAAAGTGGCCCGTCGAGAGATCGGAATTCTGACCACAAATAAGAACACCTCTCGCACCCACAAGATCATCGCCCCGGGCAACATGGAGAGGCCGGTGCGCTACATTCGAAAGCCCATCGACTACACACTGTTGGATGATGTGGGACATGGTGTCAAAGTAAGAAGGATTTTGGTCATTATGTAAAAATAAATCCCTCATAGTTTGTTTCACTGTAAACAAAACAGACTTTAGTGAAGGCAAACACACTCACATATGCATGAGTGCATTTATTTGCTAGTTTCTGTTCATTCTTCAGGTTTTCAAAAAGCACTTCCATCTTATGCTATTCTCACCACAGCCAGTCTGTTGCAGCTAAATCCCAGTCATTACTTTGATATATTGTCTGGATTTCAAGTGTTCATCAATTCTGCCTGACAGGAAAACACGCACTTAGTCGAGTTCACACCTTGCACCTTCATGTGAACAAAGTAACTGTCTATTTTCATTATTCACTCACGCACATCCACTCACACTCCAAGCCGATCAATACGCTGGCCTTTTAGTTAATTAAGAACAGAAACATGAAATGTAGCAAACACTCGTCCGAGAATAAGATGCTAACTCGGTAGCTGACCGTGGCGAAAAAAATCTTTGCTTGTCAGAGGTTTTGTTGCCCAGTAACAACTTCCATAGCTGGATGTTAGTGGAAAAGTGTGGGTTTGTGTGTGCAGCATCCAGAGTGTGAGCAAGACATAGACATCTTGGCCAAGTGCTACTCACACCATCACATCCCCTATTGAATTGGGGGAAAAATAATCTTCCAACCCCTTTTCCGGCTCATTCTTCAATTTTTTATTCTCTCTCCACATGATCCATCCGCTGTCTCCTCTCCTCTCTTCTTCTTTTTCCTCTCATTCTGTGTGTTTTTGCCTGCACATGACATTGATTTTATATGCATTGATTGCTGGTGCCACACATAACCAAAGCGCGTTTGAGTCGACCTCTTCATCCCCGTCTGCCTCTGTTGAGATTGTGGCTGTCCGCTGATTTTCAAACATCCGCTGATTCAAATTCAACAGCTAGTGTTTCCTCCTGTGAGAGCTGGCTCAGAGTGAGACAGATTTGGCATGGCCCGCTATGCAAATGAAGCATCATTCATGGATACTGCAAATGATGGATCGCTGCAGAGTGCACATCAGTGTAGATGCTGGAAAATGTGCAACTGTTTTCTTTTCGTTTCAAATATACCTGCAAAGGAAAACAGTAGTTAATGCTGCCAGCACTTAAAAAGGCATGACTCAGGCATCTGTAAAATTACTAATTTGGGAGTCTACATTTGGGGAGCACCTTTAATTTAGTTATTTTAATAAGGGTTAGATCATTATGTTAACAAGGAAGAAAGCTTGTGGGGATTGAATACTCCCTGGCTATGGGTTCATTTTGAATTCTCTGTGTTTTTATGTGTGTGTACTTACGTGTGTGTGTGTGTGTGTGTGTGTGTGTGTGTGTGTGTGTGTGTGTGTGTGTGTGTGTGTGTGTGTGTGAAGGAGCATTTTTGTTCACGGACGTACATTTGTCTGGCTCAGTGCAGACTAAAATGCATATCTCATTCCATATTTTTCCCCCAGAGCAATTTCTCTCTCGCACACGTCTGTGAATAATTCAGAAGGGCTGATATCATTTCATACTCACTACTGCAACAGACACTAGATGAAAACGTACAGTATTCTGAGAAGTATATTAATGTGTATATGTATGTTTGTGTGCAGTTATATTTGTCTGCATATGGTGTACATGTTCATGGTGCGTTCACACTGTGTAGGAAATCGCAGCGTATAGGCATTCCATCCTTAAAGCCTATTCGCTCCTGGCTGTGGTGGAATCCCTCAAGTATTCAGGGCGTGATCAGCACCCCTCAACCAGGGGAACTCACCCATAGATAGATGGGAAGTCAGACTTGAGCATGGAAAGACCCATTCACACATTTACGGATGACTGTGCTCACCCGTCCACCATAACAGCCTTTATTGGCATTACTGGCAGTTACCGGGGTGACGATAGTTTCAACCACATTACAGCCACTCCGACAGTCTGAACACCTCACTGCTGTTATTTATGACCTTGCTGTGCTTTACTACACAGTGTTTTTTTCCCTTCGTGGAACACTTAAAACGTCAGCTCAGCCTCATGTAGCTCAGGCACTGCTCATTATTTCTAGTATGTCTAGCGATTTAAGCGATTCTCATTCTGATTACAGTCTGTAACACAAGTCTAGACACTGAGGCACACAGAATAGCCTCATATGCATAAACAGGGGAGTTGTTTCTCTGTGCATATTTAATCTAGGCAATAGAGGTAGTTTCACTTTTTTCTTTCTCTTTTTGTTTTACTTTTCATTACAAAGTGAAATAAAAAGGAAGTTATTTGTTCCTCCACAGTGTATAAAACCTACATTGGCCTGTTTGATGTGGGTTTTATTTCTGGCAGGCAGGTGTCTGTGAGAAAATGACTTGGCCATTCAATTAAAATGAATTACCAACAATTTAGATAATAAATTAGTCATTTAAGTAATTTAAGTAAAAATTGCCAAAATAATCAGATGCCAACTTATCAAATATAACACTTTGCTGCTTTTCTCTGTTTTATATCATTGTAGTTTGAATTGGGTTTTGGCATCGTTTGCAGTTGTTTATATATTACATTACTTCATTGATGACAGTTGTAGTATATCTTTAACAATATCAACCTATAGACATTCAGTTTTTTTATTATCATGATTCAGTATTCAGTGTCAAATCATCAGAACAAAATGTAAGGGTTTAAAATAAAGATTACTAATTGCTGTAATTCTAGGAACAAATCTTCTAATTTAACACAATTTTTTTCCAATATGTCGGTCAATTGGCCGGCTGGTCAATTCAAACTACTGGAGTCTGGTAGGGTGTAGACTCCCTTACTCCCACATTTTTCTTCTTGATGCTTCTTCAACTTTATATTCTGTATATATCATATATATATCATCAATGAAGAATAGATCTAGGGTTCCTGCATAATGCTTTCTGACTTGCTCTCACTAAACTCTCTTTTTTAACCATTAACCAATGAGCATATCTTGTGTTCTGTCTCTCCTATTTGCCTGCTTGCACTCAGTGGCTTAAGGCCAAGGTAAGAGATGATCTTTCACTTCTTTTTGTCATGTATCAAGGTATCCATGCACCCATTAACGTTGTCTTTCATTTGCAAAAACATATAAGAGAATTTAAGATTTTGATGACACAGAGTTAAGTTTTCATGGAGAGGCTGATTTATTACAGAGCAACAATTACACATCAGAATATTTTCATCTCTTTAACTGTCATATTCACAAGCTGTCAAATTAACTATTGTGAGTATAAACATGGCTTGACATTCCACCATGAATATACTATAGGTTCAAGTGTATGTTACAGTAAATGTGGACAAATGGTACAGGAGATATAAAGTGTTATATTTCACAGTTACATTATGTACTCTTAACACATATTCATGTGTCCTGTACCATGACACATTCTCTTTATCTCTCTATCTCTTTATATCTCTATTTGTCTCCTATGTTTTTATATTTGTCTGTGGACAGAAAAGCCTTCGTTCCAGTGTTTCTCCCAAAAATTATTCTCTGTTCATGCTAAAGATGAGAAGCTCATTTGAAACTTAAAGTGACTCCTTAGCCTTAATATATATTGGCAGGGGTAACACTGGTGTCAGTGAAACCAGATTGTACGGAAACAATGTTTTAACTTGTTTTTGTTCCTGTAGCAACATGGGAACAATGCAGCAGGAAGAGGAGGGACAATCTCCAGGACCAACCCACCCACACAGAAACCACCAAGCCCCCCCATGGCTGGTCGCGGTACCCTGGGGTAAGAGCTAACAGTTGTAGTAATAGTTTGTAGCAGTTCCATTATAATATTGTACCTTTTTATGTATTCATTTTGTTAATTTGAGACACACATTATACAGTGGTTGTTAATAACAGTACCACCTGAGCATGGTTTAGTAAGTAATTTCTCTTGCTTCACGAAGAAAGTGTTCTCTTTGCTTCTCTGTATCCAGGCGTAACACTCCCTACAAGACTCTGGAGCCGGTGAAGCCTCCAGTGGTGCCCAATGACTACATGACGAGCCCGGCCCGACTGGGCAGCCAGCACAGCCCTGCACGCACAGCCTCGCTCAACCAGAGGCCCAGGACACACAGGTAGCATAGACCTTCTCTTCTTCGACCTGAAATGAGCATATATTCAGTGTTTGGACACCTTTGTATTGAGCCCAGGTGTGAATCACATCCAGATTCACTGGAAATATGTGATCACTTAATCACATCAAAGTGAGAGAAATTTGATTTGACAAATTCAAAGCAATAATTTACTCATATTCAGATTTACAGTTCAGCATCTAAAGGCAAAGTCTAACTACTCCTCTTAGCTTTTGAGATTTGAAGGTGGTTGTTTTCCCTTTGCATCCCAAACAAGCCTTGGCTCTTGTATTGTTTTTGATACACTGTGTAACTGCAGAAGTGACTGTGTGCTCCCAGATTTGTGCCCAGTGTTCATGTGTGAATGTGCCAGACACTTGCACGCAGCATATTCACTGTGAACCTGTTGCCACAGTAACGAGAATATTATTATGACGGATTGACATATGAGAGGGTAATGATAGGATGTCACACGCTATCATATAATTAAGTTTGTCTCACACATCTTCTGTCTCTCGCTCTCTCTGTCTCTCGCTCTCCCTGCAGTGGCAGCAGTGGTGGTAGTGGCGGCAGGGAGAACAGTGGAAGCAGTGCAGTTGGTATCCCTCTAGCAGTTCCCACCCCCTCCCCTCCCAGTATGGGGCAAGGTGAGTCCCGGCAGCTGTCACATTACTGCTCATCAAAGATGTCCACTGTTCTTTACAGTCATGCATTTCCCCCTGTGTGTTACTTATCAGTGGTCCATTCTAGCCCTGAGCATTTTCTCACACTCAAACGTTATCACATTCACTCAATCACGTTGACATTTTTCTGATCAAACAGACAGGATTAAATAGTATTATGAATAATAAAACAAGCATTCATGTTCTTTTATTTTCTTTCTTTTCTTTCATTCTGTGGACCTGTAGTGTAAAGTAAACTGAATTTAAATGCTCTTACTATACCAACATCAGCTTTTTTTAAAACTTTAAAATTCTGCATGGAAACATACTGAAATGAATGTGTACTATTATAAAAACTATTGCTAATGTTTTAGGTAAGTCGGAACCTAAAAGTGACGCATTAGGCTGAGGTTTTAATGTGCCCATGTCTCTCCTCTCCTCTCCTGCAGTGGCAACATCCTCGGCCTCAGTGCCCCAGGGCCCCGGCTTGGGTCCCATACCCATGTCCCAATTCGGCACCATCTCCCGCCAGATCTCCCGTCACAACTCCTCCACCACCTCCTCGGCCTCCATGGTGTCGGCCACCGGCACCTACCGCCGCGCGCCCTCTGTCTCCTCCCAGCAGCCCCACATTAATGGGGGCCCTGCCTACCCACAGAACTCAGGTTGGATAGATTTATTCATCAATAATGTATGTATGTTACAAATGGTGTGGTTTCTTAGAAGGTTGGTGTGGAGAAATAGTCTTATCTCATCTGATGGTGCTTGCATATACCTTTTAGTCCCCCATAGGTATGTATAAGAAAGAGAGGAAGCTCCTGTATTGTACTGACCATTCTCGGCTGTTTTTTGTTCTCCGCAATCCAGAATTATGTTAAGCTGATAAAAACTGTCCTCTGGGTCTAAAATATATGCACGGGCTAGCCCTTCCAGAGGCTAATGAAAATGAATGATGAGCCATAATTACTGAAGTCAGGGTTGTTGAAACCTTCCCACCTCAGCACTGCTGTGCTGAGTGTTTCATTACCATTTCTAATTGAGTTATGACATTATCACTTTAGTCAGCTGGAGAAGGCTTGTCGTTCAGGATAGACAGGCAGGAGCATTATAGGCAAGAAAACACAAACAGCTGTGAGACAAGGGGAAACCCAGGACATATGCATATTTTCTGTCAGAAGAGTAGAATTTATTTTGGCAGGCATCACTCTGAGCCATTCTCCTCTAATGGCTTCTCTCTCAAAGGACAAGCATCTTCTTTGGCACAGAAGGAGGAGACTGTCTGTCTTGTCTGGGTGGAGAGAGACAATGATGCAGAGCTGCATCAACCAGGGACTTAAACTGGGACATCACACGATCCTCCGTGATGTCTACTCACTGAAATGTAATTAAAGTGAAAGATACGTTTGGATTTCTGCTGAATGTAATAGGAGTTTGACGGCGCTAGTAACAGCTAGTTCCGGTACATGTGGGAGCTCATTGATCTCACAGGGTGTAGCTGTGGTGAGAGTAGGGTGGAATAAGAAGACATTACTGCTCAGTGAGATTACAGGCGCTCCATTACAACGTGATTTATGAGTCAGACCTGGCGTGAGTGAGTGTGTGTGACATCATGTCTTTGAGTGAGGACAGCTGTGTTTCTCTTTGTCTATTCATGTATCTCCTTTTTTAAAAACAATGTAGCAAAAAGCCTTATTTAAGGATCAGAGGATGGAGATGATATGAATGCTGGGGCGTTCAGTAAAGGGTGGGATTTCACTAAATATTGCACCTGATCCAGACATACCATGCTAATGTAGCATTACCAGACAGATCAGATACAGAGGCTGTAGCTCTACCTTTAAGTGCTATTTGTTTTTGGTTTTCGAGAACACGCATCTCTGCTGTTCCTACACAGCCACTGAGCTGTCACTGTTGCACTGTCATGTTTTTTGGTGCTTTGCAGCTCTTTCACTGTAGCAGAAACCCTTTGCTAGCTACAACCTTTGCTTTTGACTTAAAACTGATGCTGATGAGGTAGATTCTCAGACTGAGATGAAATGAATGCCTCTTTAGCCCAGCTTGAAAAACGCAGCACAAATGGACCCTGATTGGAAATGTGTAAATGAGTTGCTCAGCAATGCTTCCTGCACTGTTCCACTCACTCACAAGCTTTTTGTTGTCTTTTCCCCCCTTCTTTCTCCATTCTGGATTTTATCTCCTCTGTTACATCTTTTTGCTCTTCTCTCGTCACTGTCTTTCTGCCTGTCCACCTCCTCCTCGCTCTCTGTCTCTGTGCTGCTTTGTCTGCCTCTCTGGGTGTTGCTGCTCCAGTGTCTGTGGCTCCTCCGCCTCCTCCTCCAATGGTCCAGCTGACCCCACAGATCCCTCTGACCGGCTTTGTGGCCAGAATGCAGGAGAGCAGTAAGTAGAAAATCCATACAAAGACATGCACATACAATTAGTTAAGCAGAAATACATGCGTTTGTATGTTTAAATCCACTATAAACACACATAAGCACAGTCACTTGTGCACATACCTGCTGTGCATTTTCAAAAACCGCAGAATGTCATCAAATCTTTTAATTTATTTTGAAATAGATTTTAGGTCATATGGCTTATATTTTATATACGTACGTTTAGATATGGAGAGACACCTTTCACAGACATCTCTTATTAATGCTCTGAAATCCACACACTGCCTCACATTCACACTCTCCTCTGCGGCTTGCTACACTCGGCACACCTTTTCTTGCACTGTATCCGTGGGGTTGAGGGGGGAGCACACGCCCCTCGGATGTCTGTCTGTTGCCATGGTGACGGATCACTGAAAGCGTGCGTCCTGTACTTTCTGTCCACTGAAGAGAGAAAATGTGACCTGATGCTGTGTCCTGATTCACCACCCGCCTGTCTGGAGAGATGCAGCTGTGGGGCAATCTAACTGTCTGTATTTGTCTGGTCTTTGTAATGCAGGCTGCCATCTCTGAACTGAAGCACACTACTGGATATGAGTCATACAGTCAAATAAAGAATTAAACCAGGTTTAAGGTCTTAAACCAATAATTAGAATTTTGAAGCCATATCCATTTTTCTGAAAGCCCTTTCCTCTGTTCTTCTAAACAGCCAGTTTCTGGAAAGTCTTTCTCCATAAAGGCCCTCTGGCACGCAGGAAGTGAGGGATTTTTACATTTCCTGCAGCAGACACAGGGATTAGTATGTAAATAGGAGACAGACTGAGTAGTTAGTATGACCAGCAATGGCCAGTCTGGCTGAACAGACAAAGAAAAGAGTGCAACTGTCAAAAAGAGGTCACAACACTAAACACACAGTCTAAAAAGTGAAAATACGCATATATTACCACGTTAATGGTGGATAACACTTCTAAGGACGTACCCACACAAACGCCTTTTTTGTAATGTACTGTTATTTTTTTTTACAGGGAATGGTTGATAATCATTCAGATATAGTCCTTCCCAACTACATATTTAAAGTCTAAATGTAATATCTGCTGTGTTTACACAGGCCTTAAAGGGATAATGGATTGGACTAATAAAACCCAATACAACTATTGTTGTATAGCGAAGCATTTTCAGCTCTTAGTGCTTAAACAGATTTAAAGTCACTTGTTAGACCAGTGGAAAAAAGGTATGTAAGCAGATTGGAATTGAGGGGATGCATTCAATTCAGTTCTCTGGTGCATTATTACAGTGTGTTTAATTCAATAGCAGGCTTATGCATTAGTTAGATAAGAGGTGCTGTTTTTCTTTAATCACTGTACTTGTGTGTGTAAGCCTGCAGGGAGATTTGCTCCAAGAGGACGCCTGTATCACAAGCACAAATGTAGTTAAAAGACTGAAGACCAGTGGAAGAGTGTCGGGACCAAGTCAAGCTTATAGAACCACGCTTTCAGCAAAACACTGATCCACCCATTTTACCACCTCACACTTGTGTGAACATGCAGATAAAAAATGATGCGTCTAACTTCACACAATCTCTCTCAAAACTGGCTCAAGGGAATATTCAGGGTGATTATTGTACTGTTTGCTTAGAATGCCAGTGCTAATTTCTCAGGGGCAAAAGTAAAATACAAATAATACAACTAGGTGAGTGTTGTAGAGGAAGCCATAGTAAAAGGAAATAGGAGAGGCTTTCTTAAACATCCTTTTGAGACACAATAACTAAAAAACACAAAAGGCTGCCTGAAGTACTACTAGTTTAGTTTTACTGGCAATTCTAGCAGGGCTAGAACACTGATGTTTGGGAAGCTGGGAGGGTTTAGCAACCTTTTAAATCTACAATTTAAAAATGAAAAGACACCAGTATTATATAGTAGTATACCTGATTCCAGTATTAAACACTCAATATATTGAAATTTAGGGCAATAGATATATAAATCCAGTATTTCCTAAACAGAGTTGTCATCATTGCAGTGTGAAGAAGGCTTTAAAAGTATTTAGACCTTCATGTATTGGACAAGAAAATATTACTGAACAATTAACTGAATGAGTGAAATATGGGCGTTGGACTCTGGATGGACCCCAGTACTCTTAAAATCCATTCCACAGCATCTGAATATTACTGCTAGTAGTAATAGTAGTAGGAGTAGATGCTGTAGGATAGCTGCCTTACTAAATACTAAAAAAGACCCTAAGCTGCCCTCTAGTGAACATTTGAATCACTGCACATCTACTATGGCATTTACCATCTGCATGCATCTTCACCTAGTAACAAGGTTAACAAAGGTTTCTGTCAGTCTAGAGGATGATTGTCATAATGGAAAAAATGATTAGATGTTATCAATATGTATGCTAGTCTGTAGTCTAGAAGATTGTCATGTGATTTTAGTGCCACTGTCCTTCCACACTGATTTGTTGTCATTATAGAATCAAATATTCTTACAGATTGCTTTGTCATGTTGGTCTCTGACCTAATCCAGCCAAAAATGATAAGAGGTTTATATATTTGTATTTTGAAATGAAATATGTACACGTACTCTGAAGCGACAGATCAGATTGGGGGAGCACACACGTTATCTCCGCACTCCTTCCCCCTTTGCTTTTTATTCTCACTTGATTGATTTTTGATTGTTCTGTCCTCTTTTCTGATTCTCTTTTCTCCTCCACTGTCTGTCTTGGTTTAGTAACGGACAGCCCTGCCCCACCTCCTCCGCCTCCCCCAGAGGACATTGGCGTGTTTGAGGAGCCCTCTCCCCCTCCTCCTCCCCCACCTGTGGACTACGAGGAAGAGGAGGCCGCGGTGGTTCATTACAGTGATCCCTACTCTGACGGAGACCCCCAGTGGGCGCCCAAGGCTTATTTAGAGAAAGGTTAGTGACAGGAAAAACCACTGGTGATCAGCTATTTATAGACTTAATGTTCGATTTGTAATGATTACTCTATTTGATGTTATTTTTTCCCCCAGTTGTGGCCATCTATGACTACGCCAAGGACAAGGAGGATGAGCTGTCCTTCATGGAAGGAGCCATCATCTACATAATCAAGAAAAACGATGACGGCTGGTTCGAAGGTGTCTGCAACGGCGTCACAGGACTCTTCCCAGGAAACTACGTCGAGTCGATCATGCACTATGCTGACTAAAAAAAAAAAAAAAACCCCACCCGAAATGGCACTGCAGTTTTGAACAGAGGTAAAACCGTGAGGATGTACAGATGTATGCAGTCCATCGATTGCAGTTCATGCGGCTCCCATTACTGAATGAAGTGCCATTTCAAGTGAATTTACAAATGGTTTTCTTTTGGGGGGGCTTGTGCTTGCACGGTTTTGTTGTGCTCAAAAAAAAAAAAAAGTATCGCACAAAGAAGGAGGATGCTGAAGCTTTGGAAGACTGGGGTCTGTTAGTTTACACTGTGGACAGAAGGGAGGAGATAAAGGCCTTTTTTGCTACCACTGTCACATCCGTGGTGGTCGGTTGTACTTTTCCAAACTTCAGCTGTCACATTTTGCCTCACCAGAAATTACATACAATCAGAGTAGTTTAAAGAATGCCAAGTAGATCTAGATTTAGTGTTAATTTGTGTAAGTGCAACCAACATTTCCAGTATTTCCAGTATGCAGTAGATCTAGACAGGGAAGTATTACTACGATTTCATGGATTAATGAGGCAGAGCAGCATTGTTCTGATGTGAACGCTGCACAGACGCTCCTACCCATTTCTTTGCACTGTAGGCCAGCAGACCAACCCTTCCCTCCTTTCAAATAAACATCCATCTTACCTTATCAAAAAAAAAAAGGACAAACATCAACAAGTGCATTAGGACACGACTGAATGTTCATTGCCGTTGATGTCCAAATCACAAGATGTTTGAGAGGGCACAAAAGCAACCTGGAGTTGTGTATTTACTATGCTCTGTGTCAGTGAGGATGCTGTTCAAAAGGGTGAACTGAGTGTATAGAATGCATTACAAAAAAAGAAAACAGTTTCTTCTTTCTGGTGAAATTTCTTTTCTGTTCTCTAACTTGTATATAAACCGTAACGTGAGAAGATGCCAGTACAGTACATTTGTCAGTTAGTGTGTTTCACTCGTAAGTTTCCATTAGCTTCAGTGGAAGTGATGCCAAGATTGGATGTTTTTACTTTTTGATTTGTTTATTTTTACTTGAATAATAATTTTATTCATCACTCGCAGTGCCATTTTAACTTGATCTGGGCAAAGTGGCCGTGTATAAACTTTTTCTTTTTCTTTGTTCAGTCACGACTATATCGTTTTGATCATTGTCACTATATTTGCCGATGCTGTCCAGCTACTGTAGCAGAGCTCTGAGGTGTTTCAGAGGAAGGACTAACACGTGTGTTTTCATGTTGTTTTCCGTTGTGTTGGAATATCTGCACTGACTAGTTATCAACAGCTATGATGACTTTGTGATTGCCGCCATTGCTTTGATTTTTTTACACAGCAGTTGCTATCCAGAAGTATCAACTAACCTTTACACTTGTCTGTTCTTTCAGTGGTTGCTGGTGTGGTGCTTTACATTGGTGCTCAATACCCATAATCACCAACCCAAACAACCTCAAGACTAGACTGCTCTATATACTGTAGAAATGTAACAAGGGACTTTAGTTGTAGATGGTGAACATCCTTCAGATCTGTCACCTCTGCATTTTAGTGAATGTAGGCAACTCAGCAGTAATGTACTAAAGCTTGATTCAGTCTGCTGCTTACAGTATGGTTTTGTCTATCTACACACAGATACAGATAAAACAGATAAATGTCTGTGCTACATATGAATGACCCCTGCTAGCTGCAGTGAAGGAATGAATTCCAATCCACAGGTCTTAAAAACAGTGCTGATATGAAGACTTCTGTTCTGATTTCTAACACTTTTACCAAAATAAGATTCCTGCTCTTACAAAGTGATAGTTGGTGCACGTAAAACCCGCTGTCAAATATCATTAAAGCTTATCTCCGATGTCCGTGTGTGTAACAAGCCACATAAGCGAACATAATCATATGTACTTTGTCAAAAAAACGGGCATTGAACATGAACTTTTATTTTGAAATGGAGGCAGACTTCCTCATGTGAGACGAGTACGATCCATTTTCACAAAGACAGACTAGGGAAGACACTGAGTCAAATGAACAGTATTCATTCAGCCTCTGTGCATGAAAAGTATCTAAATGTCATTACAGTGAATGACCACTACATCCCATTCTTGATTGTATTTTTTCCATCATGAGGTAATTTTTTGTGAGAAAACAACTTTTTCTACCTAATGTATTTCTAGCTTTGCATTCAACTTGTTTTTGTGTCAGAGACTGCTGAGGAAGGCTCGCTAGCAGTTTGTATGTAAAGGATTAATTTATACTTTTTTCATAGAGAAACCATGAGACAACCACTGATGTGCAGAACTTTTTAATGTTTACCACTTAACGTCTAGCATTTCAGGGCATCACAGGTCAAGGCGCCTTTCTTTGATGTGTGTTTTCTTAATGATGAAAGGTGGGGTGGGGGAGGGATCAGTAACTTAAAATGTTCATGGGAACAGAATCCAATATTTGTCTTCTCCTCTCAGTTTGTACATAGGATGTGTCCATTCAAATTTATGTACAGTCTTTTTGTAATAAACAGCTCATTGAAACAATGAACAGAAGTGTGTGTTTTGTGTTACGCTTGTTGCATACATTTTGTCCACAACAAATTACAAATAAATATCATTATACACCTGAGAATAAATAAAGGCTTTTAAAATGTGTTCTCTTACACATCATATTATTGTGTGTGCTTTGCTGAAACATCGTGTTATTGGCTCCAGGTTAGACATTTGTCCATGAATGTGCGCACAAAGAAGCCTAAATTGGCTAAATCCAGACTAGTTTAAGTAAAAGCGGATACACAGAAGGAGGCAAAAATGTGTCTCAAACTTGTGTGAGACCAGGAGGAGGAGGAGGGATGAAGTCAGGGGGCGGCTCGTGTGGATAGTCTTCAACGTTGGATCTGTCTGTAAAGACAATCAAATGAGAATGACTCCCAGAGATGATTTAGGGTTTAAATATGCAGTAGGCAGGCCAACTCTTATTCACTGTTGAGAATTCCTGCTTTCCAATAGTTCTCTCCATTGCTGCTGTTCAAAAGCAGCATTATTTCAACCTTGGATAATATGCTGTGTTATGTTTTAGGTCGAGTTCTATTTTGGAAAACTAAACATGTATTTGAACAAGATACAGACATTTTATAACGTACACATAACATAAACTCGTTTAAGATTTTTATGAAAAAAAAAACACAAATAGCATTGGCTATACTACACAACATCTTTGGAGGCCTGCTACTGGCTGCTTCTGTGCTTGAGGGAGGGCATTATGGGTAGACATGATCGTAGTCCTGCAGGAGTCACTGTAGTCTGCTCAAGAATCACACACAATGCTAAACTTTACTTTTAGTGTCTTTATGCAAAGCTTGTCTTACTTTACTTGACTTACTGAGACCGTTTCTGAGAGTATTCTGATGTATCAGCCCTGTTTGAATGTATAGACTCACCTTTGTGTGCAGCAGAGTGCAGAGTTTGAAAAGTGGAGACTCTGTTCATTGCTGCCTGGTAGTTCTTATACAAGACAGTCCCATACTGCACACACAGAGGACACACACCTGTTTAACTCTGAGTCAGTGATGAAATGTCTATTTTTATTATTTTGGTCCATGGAATTCACAAATGTGAAGCTGAATTTAATTAGATTGCTCACGTCAAAGTGAGCTGCGTTACAGTGTTTAATCTGACCTTGGCTGCTCTGATGGAGTTGGCCCAAAGCATCAGTGTGTGTTCATCCTCACAGCACAGGAACTTGATGTAGTGTGACTCTTTCTGGATGCAGGGATGCTTTGAAAAGAGAGCAGGCAGAGAGAACTGTGACATTAAAATGGTCCTCCAATGATTTAGTATTTTACTTCCATGAAGTTGGGGGGCTCGAGAGAGACATACTGAACAAGAAATGGCTGAGATATCCTGACTCTTAATACCTAGTATAGGACAAGCTCCAGAAACGCTGCATCCTACACTTCCCATAATGCAACTTAGTCTTTCAGTAGACCTTGCCTCCCTAGTAAATGCCCACGTCTTTCAAACTCCACAGCCCCAGTGACGAGTAAACTGAACTTGTGTTTAAATACAAACACTATATCTCTGCTACCAGTATGTGCGTTTGTAGTACACTTAAAAGCCAACAGAGGGCGGTGCATACCAAGCTGTTACTGCACTGCGGCCCATGAAGCATGAATAACACTGCATTGATTAAAAAGGAACGAAAATGTGTTTTTCTCTGGTAAACAGCTGTCTCTTGATTAATTTAATTAAAAACAAGCGGGCAAAAATGGAAAATCCTTGATGTGGCTATTATTGTTTTTTTTTGGCTTTGTTAGATAGTGACTGCTGTAGATTGACAGGAGGGGTGGGTAGAGAGGGGGGATGACACGCAGCGGGGGGCCCCATGTCGGGCTCGAGCCCGGGCCGCTGCAGCAACTCCGTACATGGGTTGCCAGCTATACCGACTGAGCTAACCAGGCGCCCGGCTATTATGTTTTTTTTATTAGACAATAAGAAGCACAGTTATTCCAAACACAACACCATGTAGTTGTTGTTCTGTCCTGGCTCTCACAGCAGATAAACCACAAGGAGGTGGGAAATACGCTCTACACTCTCAGGTCAAAATGGCAAATCAATTGAGGTTTGATGGTTTTTTGTTCATTGCACTTCCCCTCAGCATGACTTAGCTGTGATAGCCAGCTCCATTACTAATTAATACTGCAGTGCAAAGTCAGTGCAGTGCTCTCGTCATATTCAACCTTCCCCTCAGCTTATGCTCATGTTTTATGTAACAAAATTCTTATAATGGAAGGAAAGTACCTTACAGTCAGGGGATTCTCTGTTATTTAAAGGTCCTGTGCGTAGCATTAAAGAGGATCTATTGTCAGAAGTGGAATATAATATTCGTAGGTATGTTTTCATTAGTGTATAATCACCTGAAAATAAAGATTTTATCTACAGATACGGCGGGTCACCTTCCATGGAGTCTGCCATGTTTCTACAGCAACCCAGAACGGACAAACCAAACACGGCATTTGACACTCCTGCCCTTGTGTAAGACCACCCACATCACTGATTCTTAGGATATTTAAGAAGGAAAGAAATCAGCCTGCATTTTTCTTTCTTTTGTTAAACCAAGACCTTTTTTTTAATGACACATATTCACAGGGTTTGCACAAATCCTGGTTTAACAGTCCACAAAAGAAACATGCCCCATCCACTCAGTGGGTACATTGCATAAACATGTTCTGTAATGCCTTTACCTCTTTAACTTTAGTTGAGCTTACCTTGAGCAGAAAGCAGAAGTTGGTGGGAGCTCTGTATTTCTGTTTGTAGTCATTAGTGGTGTAGATGTTGACCTTTTCAAAACGGACAAAGCAGGCGAGATCACTGGAAGTCTGCCGGACAGAGAAACAACAACAACAATCACACAGACAGGAAGAGATCTTATACTACAAAATATATTGCTGAACTCAGGTTTGGACTAACTTAGGTGTTTCTATATGATAAAAAGTCTTGCAGGTGATCTATGCAAACGTGTCATGCACCAGAAGTTCCTGGATGTTCTTGGATGAATAGTGGAAAATACATTGGCATCACAGGAAAATATGTTTGTGTTTGAATGTAATTTATGCACAAGACATCAATTTTAAAGCATTTTTAATGTTAAAGCATTGCCAATCCAGAACAGTCTTACAGTCATATTTCAGAGGTAGCATAAATTAGAGTAGTCTAAAAGCTGGCTGTTCATCATTTTGTCTTGATGCTCAGGTTGTTGTTTTATTTAGCATGTTGTGTGGAAGAAATACAGTTTCTGAGTTGCACTGTATGGTAGGTATTAAAAACACTTCAAAGAAAACAATTCAATGTGAGGCCATTTGTGTTTGTTTTACATATTCAAAGAAAGTGAACAATCAAGCTTCAGAGAGAAGATTTTGTTTTTCTCTCCAAAGCATTTCAACATGCCTTCCATTTATGATTTTAAGCACATCATGTTCACGCATTAAAACACACTGATGCTGTTGTTAAATGGGAACTACAAAGTGTCATTTCCTGTAAGTGGAGCTGACCCACAGAGGAGAACTGTTGTTTTCTCATTTTCTTCTCTTTTGTGCTTCAATTTCTTACCTTTTCTCCATGATCACAACTCTATTTTTCTCTCTTCTAGAGAAAATAGTAGAACTATGATCATCTGTCATGACTGTAGCTTTTGTGTCTATGTAAGTCTTGTTTCTGTAGTTAAGCGTAGGTCCATTTCCGGGACGTCAGTCATGCTTTGTTTCTGTCTGATTTTGGCCATTTCTCTTTCCCCTGCCTAATGAACTATACTTTCCAGATCTTCCTCTGCTTTATCCATGTGTCCTTGGATGATTCCTGCAGCTCTCTTATGTTTGCGATTTGCACATCTGCCTCGCACAATTTCCCCTCCATCTATTTCGCCCTCTTAGATGATTTTAGCCTGCAAAGGCCATGTTTTTCTGCTCGGCCGCAGTGACAGAATGACATGTTTCTCTTTAACAGCGGCGAGGCCTCAATTCACACTGTCCATCTTAATTTCTCCCGCTCTTCCTCTTGCCTTTCCACCGCTGCTATGCTTGAGTGCTCAGATGAAAGACATCAGACTTCACATCAGAAAAAATAATGTCTCGTTCTTTTATTTAAAAAATGCTGCCTGAAGAATATTTGTCAGCATTGCATGTGTAGATATGCACATCTTTAAAACAATAGTTTGCTGTTTGAGAAACATGCTTATTTGTTTATACTGCATTAATATTTGTCAGGGCAATATGATGAGACTGGAAACAGGAGGAATCATCTAGCTGTGTAAATGTTAAAAGACAAATACACCCACTAATATTATGTATGTCAAAAATAAAGGTAAATCGACAGGTTGTGGTTTTATGGGGAGGGAAAGTACAACTTGATATTCTAGCGCTTCCATTTATATAAACAAAGGTGTTAATGAATGAACTTTAGAGGTGCTAGGTGGAGTTATTTTTACCTTTGCACAGAGCCAGGCTAACTGTTTCTCACTCTTTCCAGTCTTTATGCTAAGCTAAGCTAACTGACTGCTGGTTGTAGCCTCATGTGTGGGCTACAGACGAGAGTGATATCATCTCTAACTCGTGGCAACAAAACAAAAGACATTTTCCAAAATGCCAACAGTCTAATGGAATATGTATGACTGTGTCTGACTCTGTATGAACTTAGTAAAAACTAAAACATTTATATGTAGTTTGTGCAAATGTACACACCCCTCAGATTTTTTTATTAACTATGTTATCTAAAGATTACCAAGAATAACATCAGAAACCCTTATGCATACTACCTACTTGCCAAATGTGGGTTTTAAAATTTAGGATGTAAACACCTTACAGCTACTAAGAACAGTAAGGCAGTAAGTTGGATGTAAAAAGAAAAGTGTTTTTCCCTTTGTGTATGGTGCCAAAGCCACCTTATGAAACATAACAATAACTAGTGTTTACCAGTTTCACTGTCATGACAACAGCCCACCAGAATTTTCTCCAGGCTATGTGTGGGAGGTGATTTCACCCACACAGGTT